GACTAGAATTGGCTTATACTCAATTAATTATTCCTTATATCTTCATCCCACATTCTCATGATCTGAAACATGTGTGAGAGTCGTATATTATCTTATATGTTCATGTTGTATAAATTTAATAGAAGATTCTAAATTTTCTACCTCTGAATGGATAAACTGAAGAGTCCTCAATAAGTGTACAATGAATTCATATGGTTTAGGATTTCCTGTCATCACTATGCCTTCCAGTAAGCTTTTCATGCCAAAAAAAAAATCAGATTACTATTTTCTTAATTATGTATAATTATATACATGCATTAATTTTTAAAAAGAATTTCTAAAAAACTGTTAATATTACATATCTACTAATATTATTCCTTTTAAAAATTTTAACATCAAGAAACTTCTTTTAACTAAGGTATTGATTTTCACTGAAATAACACATTCATAAACAGTAGGTGCAAGATTAATGTCTGGCTGTAGAATAATCAGTAATAGAGTACTGGGTTTTCAAAAGCTAAAATTCTGAATATTATACATGTTGCCTATTTAATGTAAATGTGAATGATTTCTGGTATGTGACTAATAACCATGGAAGGCATAAAATATCTTTGAGCACCGTATCTGTCAGCAGACAAATGCAGAAACGTACAAATTCAATCTGGCAAAATAGTACAAACAAAAAGCTTTCCTTATTTGCCGCTTAACTGTCCTTCTCACTTCTTTTCTCTCTTGAGTGCCATCTTCGGTCTCCAGTATCAGGCTAGGCAGTGTTTGCTTGCTTGCTTTCTAACTGTTCTTTGCAAATGCAAATAAGCTCTATATCAATCCTTCACACCTCTGACTAAAACTCATACACATCAATGTATTCACTCTCTTGCATGTGCGTGCATTTAAACCTTCTATTCCTTACTGGAATAAAAGGACTGCCTTTTATTAAAAGACTGTAAAGCAATAACTAGATGAGGAAGACTTGGGAGAAAAGAAATTTCTTTGTATGTGACGTAGTAGTAAAAACTATCTTTGATGAGACAATTACTAGAGTTTTTTTTTCATTTTTTGGAGGCAAGGGCAGGAAATAAAAGAGAGACTGTGGCTGGCATTATCATTTTTTTTCCTTTATCTTTTTAACCTGCAAATTTGTAGATGTCAGGGAACAAGAACCATTATCTGTGACTATAGCATTGGTATCATGCTCTTTCCCCTTTAGCATCATAATCACGAAGCCAAGGGGCTCCGACACCTCTCAGGCAGACCAGCATCAGAGGCATTGAATGCAGAGTAGCTGGTCAAGGAAAAGAATGGGAGGGGGCTGGTGTGAGGGTCTTTCCCAGTCACATATAATTATATGAAAACCAACATTCACTGCGATTGCTGTGTCAGTTCTGCAGCCTATTAATATGCTACTAAAGTGACGTGTTGCTGAAGCCATTTCTTTTAGGGAGGATGATGATGGGAGAGAGGGGCAGACAATAAAGAAGGGCCTCAGCTGTGGCGAACAAGGCTGTGTGGATGTGAGGTTTACACAGATGCATGATCTTTGTGATGATGATCAAAACGTTACATGATGTCAAGGGAAATGTATTAAACATTTTTAAACAAAATAAAACCACGCTTTGGTTATGTAAAACTAATACTAATCAAAATAAATCATGTGAATTGCTTTACATTTATGCCTAATTACCATGTAGTACAATAATGATTATGTGATTATTTTTGTCAGATTAATTTTGCTATAAATTTAATTACATGTGTAAATTCTAAATATTCAGCCCTCATAATTTAGTGTTTTTAAACAATTATTTACTGACCCCACTCCCTCTTCTACATGCCAGATACCAAACTGCATACTAGGAATAAAAACAATAAGACAATCCTCCCTCCCATGGGGCTTACAGTCTTGATGAAAAAAAAAAAAAAACAAGTACTAGGCAAATGTCAAATAGAAGAACTGACAATCAATGTATTTTTAAATGAAGGTAAGGACATGAAGGGAATACCAATCCCAGTCCTAGGGTATCAGGTAAGGCTTCAGTCCCTCAGAGCTGATCCCTGAAGACCCAGTAGAGTTAGCCAAAAGAGAGGGGAGAGTGAGTCAGTAATCCAACAAAAGAAACAGGAGACTCACAGGCCTCAGAAATGAGGCCCTGCAAGGTGAGTTTGAGAAACTGCTCAGCTGGAACCCAGTGCAAGAAGAGTCCTGAGATAGTAAGGTTAGTGAGATAAGAAGAGGACTTCAATATCATACTAAGGAATCTGAAATCTTAACAGTAATGAGGAACCACTGCAGACTTCAAAAAGGAGAATGACACGATCCGATTTACATTTCACACTAGATGTGGCTTTACTGTAGGGAGTGAAGTAATACAGCTCATACCTGGAGGTGAGCAGGGCAGTCAGAAGAAGCCAGTTGCAGTGATTTAGGTGACAGTTGCCAGGGGTTCAGGTTAGGCTATTAAGAACAGAAAGAACTGAATGGGCCTGAGAAATATGTAACAGGTACAACTGAAACATCTTAGTGATTGATTAGGTATAAGAGAAGAGGATTTGGAGATGGATTTCTGACTTAGGCAAACACATGATGCTATAGTATCTCAGAAAAGCGATCTATTACTGAGATAGAAGGGGAAAAGAGGCAGGTTGATGGGATTTCTATTTGATTTTTGTTGATTTTGACAGAGGAGGGGCACAGGAAAGCATTCGAAATTATGAGTTCCTCTAGACAAATTCAGTTCTATGTGTCTGAGGAGCTTGGAGATCTGATAGGTGATTGGATATATAGGGGTGAGGCTAAGAAGAAAGATCTAAGCTTAGACACATATTTGGCAGAAGGCATCGTATGTCAGCCGAAGCCATCAGATAAACAGAGAAGGGGGCCAACAACATCAGCAGCTCAGAGAAACCCAGAATCAACAGGACGACCTGAGCAAGAGACAGTAAGGAAGATAAGCAGGAAGGAAGCCAGGAAAGCACATGATCACAAGAATCAGGGAAAGGGATATTTTAAGAAGGAACAAGTAGTCAACAAAGTCAAGTACAAAAGAAAATGTAGACTGGTACAGCCATTTACAATTCAGTGATCTGTACCTATTAAAACGTCTGATTCTTAATTCCATTTCTTGATATTTAATCAATAAAAATGTTATCCTGTGTGTCCAATGAGACAAAGAATAGTTTATAAAAGTAAAAAAGAAAGAATGTAAATATCCAAAAACAGAGAATTAACTCGAATATTATAGACTAACCTTGTTGAATATGCCACAGAACTTGACGAGAACTAAATAGATTTATGAGAAAGACTTTAATGAATGTTAAATATAAGAAGAAGCCAGTTTCAGAACAATGCATACATAATAACAGCAGTTATCTTTTAACATATTTCTCTATGCATATATAAGAAAAGCTACAGAAAGAGTTGAAAGAGTATACACCAAAGTCCAACAGTCAACTTTGTGAAGAAAGCTGGTATTTAGTTGGGTCTCTGGTAAAGGAGACCTTTTGCTTCATTTGTATTTTTTTTTTAATTTTTACAGTGAAAATGTTCCCATGTAACAGTTGCATAATAAAATACATTTTTAAAATGCTATCAAGAGATTGAACAAAATTAAACTGAGAAATAATTAATTTAATGGTTGTTTAGTAACTTTAATTAAGCAGAGATTTGGAAGAATAAAGGGAATAGAGGTTAGAGTATAATGAATTGAGACAAAACAGAAGGGAAAGCAGGAAACAGAATATAAAACAGACAGTGTGGTATGGTACAGAAAGAAAAAGGAGTGCAAAAAGGATTTTTTATGAGAAGGAAGAAAAATGATATTCTCAGGAAGCCTCGCTGCTGACAGGTTAAAAAAACATTAGAGATAACAAAGCTAATAAGACACCAAAAGACCTGGGGCCTGTTAGAGTGCCAGGCATGGCGATGGCAAAGTCTGGAATAACAGCAGTGACTTGCTAAAGAGCCAGATCAAGGAAGTTTAGGTGAGAAAAAAAGATTTATTATGGTTGGATCTATGCAACATCCCCAAACTAATAACCAAAGAGAAGAAAAGGTGGAAAATAATTCTCAAAATATCTTAGGGTTATAGCAAATGAACGGATGACATTGGAAGAATACAAATAAATAGTCTAATTGCAAGATGAGAAATGCTTTAAGGACCGGCTGGTTGGTGCTATCTGGAATGACCAGAATGAGCTGAGACATAATCTGGTACAAGAACAAGACTATGTATTAGTATTGGTTGTAACACTTAGGAAATGGTGCATGTTCATTGCTGTGAATCAATCAGAAGCTGGAAGTAAAGCATGCTGTCAGCAGGGCATATTAACTGCCACTCATTCTCCTTCAACATGTAAGAAGTGATGAGTGATACAGCATCATTTAAGCATATTTAACATGGTCCAAGAATTTTGGTTCAGCATTAAACAGTAGGAATTGCTTAGGATTAGGGTATAAATATAAATCTCTTCTGAAACCAAAGCAGGATGTCTCCAAATGGCTCGGTTCTGAAGAAACCAACTCTCTCTCCGTGGTCATGCCTTTCTGGAAAAGTCTTAGAGGGGAGATAAATGCTAACAACAAACTAAAACTTCTTACTCACCCAGAACAATGTGTCCTTACTGAAAAAAAAAAAAAAAAAAAAATCCTGGTCCAAAGCTACTCTTACAGAGGGGCTGTTCACATCCTGGTGAGAGAATACGGTGATGAACCCTATGCTTTGGATGGTCCTGATAAGCAAACAACTTTAAATCACAATAAAATCATTTGTGTCCTTTAAAAGACAAGGCATAGCGACACTGGATTTCATCAAGGGGGTGGTGAGTGGGAGGGCAGAGAGATGACATTACAACATGAGACTCAAAAGGAAGAGACTGAGAATTTTCTGGGTGCAGACGTGAGAGAATTAATTATTGACACCTACACAGGAAACTCTCCATTTGGGCACTGCCCTGGGTCATGTGTTGTCATGCCTACTGAAATTATATTAGAAACCAAAATAAACTTCTGTATTAGTAGCTCTCACCTTAAGAGTTCAATCTGTAGAAGAGGCAAATTTCTCCTTTGGCTTATTCTACAGGCAGCCTTCTGAGAATCAGAAGAGAACAACCAACTTCGATCATTTGAACATGGAGCATCAACTAATACCTATAGGAAAAAATGACAGAGAAGGCAAGTATGCACTAAAACATCCTCAAACACAAAGGACACAGGGAAGCTACGTAAATTGTGGCAAAACTTAGCAAATAAATAAGTAAATTTATTTTAAAACTGAAAATACACCATGGTAAGTTGTTTACAACACTTCTTCACTAACACCTTACAAAAGAATTTCCTGTGACTTTCAGCATTTAGGTCTTTTTCAGTGGAGTAGGGGAATGAGACGACTAAAAGTCTACTAATGTCTACTAATATTTCATATTCTTGTTGACTACAGCAAAAACTTTTACAAAAGTTACTCATTTTATTTTTTTAAAGTTACTCATTTTAAGCAGATGTTACTATATTCCTGAATTCTCAGCATTTATATTTAAGAACTAATAATTCAATTTCAGTTTACTGAAAGGCTGTCTTTTTCTTCAACTGTCATACTCTGATATGAAATGTTACCAAATTAAAGCAATACAGTGCACATGTTTGTGTACTGATTCAGATAATATCTGATCTCTTCCTGAGTATCTTTGAGGTACCTGGAAATAAAAAGCATTCTATAATCCCCAATCCCAATGTTACCGCTTCCTTTGAACATGCTGACCATCAAATAAAAACTGCTCCCATGTTCACTTTATCAGAATTTCATCTTGTTGACTACAGCAAAAACTTTTACAAAAGTTACTCATTTTATTTTTTTAAAGTTACTCATTTTAAGCAGATGTTACTATATTCCTGAATTCTCAGCATTTATATTTAAGAACTAATAATTCAATTTCAGTTTACTGAAAGGCTGTCTTTTTCTTCAACTGTCATACTCTGATACGAAATGTTACCAAATTAAAGCAATACAGTGCACATGTTTGTGTACCGATTCAGATAATATCTGATCTCTTCCTGAGTATCTTTGAGGTACCTGGAAATAAAAAGCATTCTATAATCCCCAATCCCAATGTTACCGCTTCCTTTGAACATGCTGACCATCAAATAAAAACTGCTCCCATGTTCACTTTATCAGAATTTCCCAGGGTACTGAGAAATTGTATCCAGCTATGTCTGGAAGCAGATGGAAAATAACCACAACAAAGCAACATAACAGTAGTATCACTGGGAGTCTATCAATCTGTCACAATGTAATAAAAGTACCTTGTCAAAGGTTTCAGGCTGGGCATCTCCCATTTCTCTGCCATCCAATTCAGACACTTTAATTACATTTACCAAAGGCTGTGGGATGAAAGATTCTAAGGTCTGCCTCAGCCACCTCAATCTCAGACTATTGTATTCATTACAATGAAGATAACCTAAATATGAAGGATTAAAAAGTTTTTTTAAAAAATGAACACAATAGAATTATTAAATTTCCATTTTTGATCAAATAAATTTCAGAAAAACACTGGTTCATTACAATTACACAGGAACAGGGCTGAGAGGTAAACATGATTGTCTATGTTTAAAGACTTGAGTACACTCACAAACACTTCATAAAACATTTACCATAGTCATGCCTACAGAGCCTCTCAGAAGCTCTCACCATTTATTCATTCAAATTTAATTCTTAATGTAAAAACTTTAGAGAATTAGAGATTCCTAAAGATATACTATACAACCAATACCTTAGACACAGTTCTCTCCTAAAGCTCTTAAGAGTGATATATAAAGTTCCTTCCAGGTCAGAACACCTTGATTTTAAATAAAGGAAGGTATGTGGCTTGTGGAAAAAAGCATGTAAAGTGTAACTGGCTTTATGATAAGAAAGGCATAGGCTCAAATTAAGAATTGTGAGACTCCAGAAAACTGACTCATCTCTCCTACACAGTCTCACTTTCCTTATCTGTAAAATGGGGACTATAATAGTGAAGGAGTTTAGAACACTCCACTGCAAAATATGCTGTTTTGGCATACTGATTATTTTGAGTTACAAGCACTTGAATAACAGCAGATGTGGGAAGGGCATTTGACCTATCTTTTTCTTCCTGAAAGCAGGAGATGAACTCCCATGTTAAAGATACCCTCCCTATACCAAGAGGAAAGAATATTCTCATCACCAGTGACAGGGAGTCAAGGCCAAGAGAAAAAACACGTGTATGCTTTATTCCTGTCGCTCTGTCTTCTGTCAGTCACTGTCAGAAGCCCTTACAGGATACAGGAGAAAGTTTACTACCCCTACCTTACAAAGCTGTTGTTAAGATGAAATGCTACACCTTAAACTTATACACTACTGTATGTCGATTGTATCTCAATGAAACTAGAAGAAAAAAAAAAAGATCCACTGTGATAATTTAGTAACATATCTAGCCTGTGTGATGTGCTTAGTCGCTCAGTCATGTCCGATGTTGGGACCCCATGGACTGTGGCCTGCCAGCCTCCTCTGACCATGGAATTCTCCAGGCAAGAATAACAGAGTAGGTAGTTGTTCCCTTCTCCGGGGGGTCTTCCCAACCCAGGGATCAAACCCAGATCTCCCATGTTGCAGGCAGATTCTTTCCCATCTGAGCCACCAGGAAGCCCATATCTAGCAAAGAACTGCAAAAGGAGTAACAAGAAATGTTCATAATGTTCGTGTTAGTCGCTCATTCATGTCCGACTCTTTGCAAACCCACAGACTGTAGGCCGCCAGGCTCCTCTGTCCCTGGGATTCTCCGGGCAAGAATACTGGAGTGGGGTTGCCATTCCCTTTTCCAGGGGATCTTCCCGACCCAGGGATTGAACCCAGGTATCCCGCATTGCAGGCAGATTCTTTACCATCTGAACCATCAGGGAAGCCCAGTTCTTTTAGCATTGAACTGCAAAAAGTAGTAACAAGAAATGTTCATAATGATTACTAACAATACATGTAGTAGGAGTGGCTTCCCTAGTGTCTCAGTTGGTTAAGAGTCTGCCTGCAGTGTGGGAGACCTGGGTTCAATCCCTGGGTCAGGAAGATCCCCTGGAGAAAGAAGTGGCAACCCACTCCAGTATTCTTGTCTGGAGAATTCCATGGACAGAGGAGCCTGATGGGCTATAGTCCATGGAGTCACAAAGAGTTGGACACGACTGAGTGACTAATTTTCACTTTCTTATAGTAGTAATTATTATCTTGAGTCCCTATTAAGGGCTAGGCACTGTTCTAAGACTTTACATGTAGTAACATATTTAATCCTCACAAACCTCAGGTAGATAATTTTATTATCATTTCCGTTTTACTGATAAGGAAATTGAGGCAAGGAGAGGTTAAGTAATTTGCTCAGGTTTACACAGCAGGAAACCAAGACACCTTGGTTCTGGAGCCCGCCTGCTTTTCAGCACCATGCTATGCTGCTTCTCAGAAATAGAAGGCATTTAGCAAATTGTTTTCTCCCTAATAGAAAAGTTATTTTGTTTTTCCTATAGTTAAATATATATTTATAAATATTTATATATATTTATTATAGTAACATAAATTGCATATAATATTAAAGACAAGTATATTTTCAAATGTACAAAAGTATAAAGAAAGAACACCAAAAATTACCTAAAACTCAGTCTTCAGATAAGCATCATTTAACATTTTCATTAAATAATCCTACCATATCTCTTTATGTCTATACTTACATATAAATGGATATATGGATATAAATGGAATATATAAATGGATATATATGAATGGAATTATATAATATTTTTATAGTGTCTTTTTCCCATCTTACTCTTTATCTCCCCACTCTGTCAACTGCCCAACCACCCATCGAAAGGAACCTATATTATTAACCTGATATACATATGCTTATATACTTATCTGCACATACAGTATTTTATTTACACACTTTTTTGTCTCCTGACTCTCCACATGTTAATAGTTCAAAGGCAATACCACCAAGTCAGAGATGCGAATCATTTTTAAAGGCTGATGCGAATCATTTTTAAAGGCTGATGAATAGTACATAGAAAAAAATGTGTCCTCTTTTATTCAACCATTGCCAATTTCTGGGCATTCAGACAATTGTCATTAATAATCATACGTTTTTGAACTGTGGTGTTGGAGAAGACTCTTGAGAATCCCTTGGACTTCAAGGAGATCCAACCAGTCCATCCTAAAGGAAATCAGCCCTAAATATTCATTAGAAGGACTGATGCTGAAGCTGAAACTCCAATACTTTGGCCACCTGACACAAAGAACTGACTCACTGGAAAAGAGCCTGATGCTGGGAAAGACTAACAACTCCACAGTCATTGCTTCCAGCCAATGGGACATGCCCAATTACACCAATTACAAGAGTCACTACACACAGCCAAGCCCAAAGCATGGCATCCCCATCAGGTCTCTAGGGTTTATTTACTCCTTTTCCCAGCGCACATGGATTTTAACTATTCAAGGTCATATTTATAACAAGTCTAGAAACAAAGTAACAATTTCTCTCAGGTTACCAGGGAAACACAGCTAGAGAACTGAAGGTGAAATTCTAATGTAACGTGGGAAAAATTTTTGTAAAGTCTTTGCTCAAAAATACCTGTATATACATATATACATATGTATATATATGTACACGCACACACATATATACATATATTGTTATTTTTCTGATTGTCATTCCACTGTAAAAAACTCTGTAATGACATCCCAACCTCCACTAAATAAACACCTAGTTTTAAAGAAAGGTCTATAATTGTGGGACCTCAAGATCATCTTTCAATTTTAATCACCACACCAATTATTTCGGCAAAGTGATGTTTCCACTTTTTAATACGCTCTAGGTTTGTTAAAGCTTTCTTTCCAAAGAACAAGAGTCTTTTCATTTCATGGCTGCAGTCATTGTTCACAATGATTTTGGAGCCCAAGAAAACAAAATCTGTCGCTGCTCCCATTTCCCCCCACTTCTATTTGCTATGAAATGATGGGATTGGATGCCATGATCTTAGTTTTTGAATGTTGAGTTTCAAACCAGCTTTTTCAGTCTCCGTTTTCACCTCCATCAGAAGGCTCTTTAGCTCCTTTTCACGTTCTGCAATCATCTGTATATCTGAGGTGGTTATTTCTCCCAGCAATCTTGATTCCAGCTTGCGATTCCTCCAGCCTGGCACTTTGTATCATGTATTCTGCATGTAAGTTAAATAAGAAGGGTGACGCTATAGAGAGCTGACATACTCCTTTCCCAATCTGGAACCAGTCCACTGTTCCATGTCCAGCTCTAACTGTTGTTTCTTGACTTGCATACAGGCTTCTCAGAAGACAGGTAATGTGGTCTGATACTCCCATCTCTTCAAGAATTTTCTACAGTTTGTTGTGATCCACACAAAGGCTTTGGCATAGTCAATGAAGCAGAAATAGATTTATTTCTGGAACTACTTTGCTTTCTCCATGACCCAACAAATGCTGGCAATTTGACCTCTGATCTCTCTGCCTCTTCAAAACCCATCGTGTTCATCTTTCGTTCTCTGTTCCCATAGTGCTGAAGCCTAGCTTGAAGGATTCTGAATTCAGAGGATGGCATCAATTTAGGGAGGGGTTTCAGAAAGGACTAGAAAAATCACCTTAAAGCTTCATTTGTAGAGGTAGAACATTCTTTTTTATTTGGTCTACATTGTTAATTTTGGGTGGTTTTTTGGAGGATTCACTAATGCAGGATTCACTTATGTGTAGGTGTCTGAAAGCTTTTGTCTTAGCCTGAAATCACTGGAAAACAGCCAAAGACAAAAGTTTACATCACAGAAGGGTACGATCCCAGGGAAGCAAGAGTGGGAAATAAAAGGAAGTAAATCATGCAAGGAGGGAGCACAAATGTACGAGAGTTTGTAATCAAGCTGACTATTGTTCAGTTAAATTTTATTCCATTTTTCTTTTTTCTGGTTTAAATATCTTATATTCTGTTCTTTTAGTGGTAACCCTAAAGCATTTAACATGCATATGTAAAAGAAAAACCTAAAACAAGTCAATCTCCACCATTTTCCCTAAAAGATACAAGAATCTCATAACATTTCGTCCTAAATAAGATGCTACTGCATTATGTATTGGGCTTTATTTGCACTTATATTTTTTAACTGTATAAAATGTCATTATCATTGTCTTCTATATCCAATGACTGTGAGATTTTTCCCATTTATTTCTCACTTTCTTCTTTCTTCAATTCTTTTTCTATCTTCCATTTTCCACCTAGGATGGCTTTCCCTTTTCCTTCAGAATTGCTGGTGACAAACTACACTCTTGCTCTCTGTCTAAAAGAAACGTCTAATTTACTTTTTCTCTTCAAGGATATTTTGATGAATGTATTTCTGGATTGACAGTCATCTTTTCTTAGCACATTGAAAACATCATTCCTCTGAATGCCAGCTTCCATTATTAACTCAGAGGTCATTCCTCAGTCCAACTGTTGTCCTTTGAAGGTAGACTGTCTTCTCTGGCTGCTATTAAGATGGTTTTTTATTTCCATAATTCTGCAACTTCACCATAATGGTCTATGCTGGCTTAGCTCTAGTTACAAAGTTTCAGAGGGTATGTCCACTCCTCCCCTACCACTAAAACTGAAAACAATCTTCCTTTCAGTTCTTTGGAGAAGACAATTTCTTCCTAGTTTACCTTATTGGAGGGGAAAGTATTTTGGAGTCTAAGGTTTATACAAATTAATCTTCTGATAGATGCTTTAACTGAGCAGGCTCTGGCTTCTTGTATCCACACATGTTCATGAAGCAATAAGTTTTCCAGGTGAAGCAAAAAAAAAAAAAATGCTCTCAAGTGAAAATCCAGCTTCAATGTTCAATTTACCTCCCAGGTTCTCAAACTGTTAACTTTTGGCCACTGAGTCTTTGTAGAACATTAACACACTTTAAAAGATTTTGCTTTTCTTTAATATTATACCCCACACTTTTATTTTCAACAGGAGAGTTGGCTAAAACAAATAGTTTGTCATATCACAGGAAACAGAAGGCTTAGTTACCTCTATATCCTTCAGAGCTCTACACCTACCATGCAATGCCTCACACATAGTATATGCTCACCAAATGTGGCTCACCTGATGTAAAATATGGCATTATAATAAAGACATTTAAATTGCTAAAACTGAAAATCAGGGCAGCTTCTCATTAAACTGTAGCTTTAGTCAAGATCCTCAATTCAGCATTCTAAAGTAACTCTCAGTTGAAATACAGCTTTATGCTATATTACAGTTTGGTCTAGATAGATTTTATTTGAAATAGGATTAAATTGGTTAAACTTTAAAAAATATATAAGGCATTACAGTCCAAGTTTCATATATACACATACACACACACACACACTCTCTCTCTCTCTCTCAGACTCACTACATTGAGATAGAATTAATTTTCAAGCTTAAATTGCCAAAAATAAACCAAATCTTTTTTTTTCTCATCTAAGTAGAAAAGGGGATAAATTAAACAAATTCTTGAAAAAGTCATTGAGCTTCTTCAGGAAGAGCATTTGGAGTCTCAGCTTTACTTTTTCTTTTTTCTACTACATGTTCAAAATTATCACTGTTGTTATTATTTCCAAAAAGAAGATGCATCTAATGCAGGGAGTTCTTGGAAGGCTTTCTAGGAAAGTTGATTTCTGAGTGAAAACCTGAAGAATGGAAAAGAATTAGCAAAGGGGAAGAAGGGGAAAATGGTACCTGTACGGTGAACAAAAGGCTCAGAGGGAGAAGGGAAAAAGCAATTCAGTAAAGAGTCTTTCTAATGTTCTCTACCATCAAAAGCTAACTAGATGTAAAAAGGGTATTATTGACAGCAAAGTGAATTTCATGTGAACCCTCAGCAAGAAAGTTGATCAAGCCACTCTATCAAGCTGGGTCATTCTTAACTTGTTAATGCTTTCCTATTTAGAATCAAAAGTGGGTTTTTTTTCCTTTTTCTGTCAACACCAGGATATTACAGAGGCTCCACTGACAAAAACAGAGCAATAAAAAACAATGGACAGCCCCTCATCATGCTAACAGGTAGGAGCAGCTAGACCAGAAGAGAAGTAGGCTAATTTTTTTTAATCATCCTAAAATATGACCTTTTTAATTATTCAAAGCTGTGAGCCTCCTGACCCAGAATAAAGGCCAGTACTGATCTGAAGAAATTCAGAGGATAAATGCACATTTAGTGCAGCCATCATTTTAAGTTTTGCTTATAAAAGCTTTTTTTAGCATGGCATCTGCATTCCAGATTCAAGCACTGTAGCTAACCTAATTTGGGATTTGAGCATCAGCATGAAGACATCTGTACTTCTTAGTAAACCATTATCATTAGCCCTTCTTAGATGAAAAGCTACTTTACTTGGACTACCGCCTGTAACTCATTGCCCTTGATGTAAGAACAGGAAGATTCTTCTATACTTCAAACTCATAGAATATATCCACTTGCCTTTGGATTCCTAATCTGAATTTCTTTACCATAAACATGTTAAATATTTATAGCCTACTAATGAGGATAATCTAGGATTAAAATGCCCTCTTTTCAAAATGGTACCCAAATTTGGCAATTCTCTTCCATTTTTCACAATACTAAAAATTCTATATTCAAGACTGACGTAACAAACAAAATAAGCATGCAATCAAAGAACAGAGGGTAAAAGCGATAACAAATATTCCTTATAACACATGAGTCCACAGAATTTCATTTTCAGCTCGAATTATAAAAATAATAAAACAAACTTACAAAATAATCTCTTTCGTTGTGATTTCTTAACAAAAAAAAAAATACAGCAAGCTTCAATAACAGTTCTAACCACAATTTGAAAACACACAGTATGTTTTCACCTAAAATATACAGTTAACTGGTATACTTGTACCAATGCCTAGTACAACTGGATTCAGAGTTCTCATAAAAATGTTTATAAACTATTTCAACAGGAATGCTCTCAAAGGAAGATACGTATTATCAGTTCTCAAACTAGGATATGCATGCCCTGGGGATACATAACAACTTTTAAGGGATAAGCAGGCTTAGATAGTTTCAAAGGAATCAATTTTCAGATCATCGGCTTCTTAAAAAAGGAGAACACCTCTGGGCAAGGCTTCTCCTAGCTCTTCACCAACTTTATAAATGAGAAGCACACTTCCCACCCATCCAGAGTCTTACTACAGCAAGTTGTGCACAGAATCCCCCAGAGCACTCCAAACAAAGGCGGTGCAGCACAGGAGTGCTTTGGCTGAGAAAGTGAACGAGTCTCCTGATTATGCAACAGTCTTTTAAAATTGGTTTCCAATTCTTTGTCTTCTTCAAAATCAAAAACAGACCCAGTGTTTACATAAGTTTACATAGAGTGTTTATATAGTAGATGATTAAAATAATGCTTAGTGAACGAGAGCTATGTGATTAGGGTTATAATTCAGGAGTTTAAAGAACTAGTGAGATTACTATAACACAACTCTCACCATTTCATCTTTTCATCTCTGTGAATAGCATTTGCACTCATAAAAACAAAACTATCAAACAAAAACCAGACAGAATTGAGGCTGAACCTTGTCTCATTTAGCCATAAGTAATTTTCATCCAGGGAAACCTGAAGTAATAGTTTAAAAGTCCCATTGTCTCATTAAGAAAAGAATTTGCAATGAATGCATTACTTTTAACAAACATATATAAAAATGTATTTTACATGTATTTCATCCTTTTTGTAGTACTAATAATATCAATGATAAGTCCTTTCAAAAGAACTTTTAAAATCTTTAGAATTGCACCATCCAATACTATACCCACTTGCTACATGAGGCTGTGAGCACTTGAAACATAACTAATCCAAATTAAAATGTACCCTATGTGTAAAATGCATACCAATTTCAAAGACTGTAAGAAAGAGAATGCAAATATCTCATTGATAATTTCTATTTTGATTACATGTTCAAATAAGATTTTGAATGTATTAGGTTACAATGTATTACTAAAATTAATTTCACTTGTTTCTTATATTAATTAGAATGCTCAAAAACATTAAATTATATATATACTTCATGTTATATTCCTATTGGACAGAACTCTCTTAGAACCTTATGGTCCAATAATACAAAAAATGTGTTTAAATGTGTGTGTTTTTGTTGCATAAAAGTATAACCAGGACATCAATACAAGACTCTGAAGTATAAAAGCAACAATAAAACTTTAAAAATCTTTGCCATTAGCTCATCAGGTTTCATATTATCTGAAAGATCTGTGTTCACAAAATGTTGTAGTTTTGTTGTAGTTTCCCAATTACCTGTAAGGATTAAGTAGCTGGGGGAAAAAAAAGGTTATTTACACTACTTCCTCAGCAAAACTTCTACTCTTCTCCACACTGTCTTGGTTTTTAGGCTTTCAAAGTCTGAAAATTCAATCTTACATTTCTCCTCGCATAGTCTAAAAGTACTCTGTAACATGTGAACATTTAAAAGTTGTCAATTATGGAGAGAAAAGTACATTACCTGGATAAGCACACTGCAGCAGAGCTAGAGATTTGCCTCCAGGGGCAGCACACAGATCCAGAACCTTCTCCCCATCCCTCAATTCCAGAGCCAGTACTGGGAGAAGGGAGGCGGCATTCAGGAGATAGTATTTTTTTAGGTTTCCAATTTGGTGTCTTTCTGAAGGCATTCTGTGAGGAGTTCTGCTAAGGTAACATTTCATTGATTTAGGATAGTAGGGTAAAGATCCTTGAAGGAGTGAGTGATAGCCCTTCAGATGTAAATCCTTTTCCAGTTCAAAAGGGTAATTGAATCTGTTAAGAAGAACAGCATATTGCCAACAAGATGGAGATGTTAGTATGTCCCTAGAGAGAAAAAGATAAACAAAGGGGTATTAACATTATACACAGTAATACAATTTGATACTAAGCCAGGGAATGAGGTCCTAGCCTTACGCTTTATTTACCTATGATTTTCAGAACCAAGAGCCAGAATGACTTTTTCTTTTGCCTCAGGCTCCCATATAGCTCAACACAGCACTGTTATGATCCTGTTTTTAAAACTCTGATATTTTGCTCATCGTGGGTTTTTTCTCTGGTATCAGTTTTGGTCACTAAAACAATGTTTATCTTGGTTCCTGAGTTTTAGGGGCCCCTTAAAATCTGCACTGAAGAGGAATGCCTCATTTACTTCTCAGTCTTGACCTTCCCTGCACATTATCTTGCGAAAAAAAACATGACCTGTCTTTAGCATACTTCAAAATCCATCAAAATAAGACTTTAGTCTATCACTCTTTGCACAAGGAAGTGTTTTTCTTAAGAAAAAATTTAAAACCTGAGTCTTAATTTTGAAGGGAAAAGTACTATCATTAAAGGCTGTTCAAAAGAGTAAGTATTCAAGTTTTCCTCTCATGAAGATAAAAGTATGGAAAGCTAACTACAGTGAACACTACAGTAACAGAGCTAATGAGGTAATCAGTGGCTCAGAGGATACAAAACCAAGCATGATTTAAAAATCACTTATGGACTGATGGTGCAGGTTTTCCCTGCCCCCACCTCCCCAGCAGATGTACCTTCCTAATTTTTTATTCGGTCCAACAGTTAGATCTCTTGACAATCACAAGCTCACATCAACTGACAAATGATACAGGAGGAAATATTTAATTTATTTACGAGCTGACCTTTCTAGCTGAGTTATTTGGGAGCCTCATTAACCATGGTCAATTAAATAAATTCCAGCTGCTACTCACCCTGGTGTTGCCTATGTGAGGAATGGCTGGATTGAAATGTAACACCTGCGACTGGAAGAGTGCCATGTGAATTTCAATTGAGGCTAATATGTGAAATTGCTTTCTCTTATCACTACCTCTTACTATGATAGTGCATCACAGAAGCCCAGCATTTCAGCTATACCGGGAGACGACAATCTCTTTCTTTAAAAGCATGCTTCATGAACTTTAACGTACATCTAATGACTGTAAGATACTGCTGGGCCCCACCTGGGGTTTCCTATTGTCGTTCTAGCAAGTCCTCACGTGACATTAATGCTGCTGAGCCACAGACCACACTTTGGGAACCACTGAATTAAAATGGACCCTAAAAGGAAATCTATTGTTGTAACCTTATGTCAGTCCATCCTAATTATACCCTCCAAACTGGCTAAATATCGATCCAGAGTTTGAGTCATGTTCAGTTCAAATCAGTTCAGTCGCTCAGTCGTGTCTGACTCTTTGCAATCCCATGGACCACAGCACGCCAGGCCTCCCTGTTCATCACCAACTCCCAGAACCCACCCAAACCCATGTCCATCAAGTCGGTGATGCCATCCAACCATCTCATCCTCTGTCGTCCCCTTCTCCTCCTGTCCTCAATCTTTCCCAGCATCAGGGTCTTTTCAAATAAGTCAGCTCTTCGCAGCAGGTGGCCAAAATACTGGAATTTCAGCTTCAACATCAGTCCTTCCAATGAACACCCAGAACTCATCTCCTTTAGGATGTACTGGTTGGATCTCTTTGCCGTCCAAGGGACTCTCAAGAGTCTTCTCCAACACCACAGCATCAATTCTTCAGTGCTCATCTTTCTTTATAGTCCAACTCTCACATCCATATATGACCACTGGAAAAACCACAGCCTTGACTAGACAGACCTTTGTTGACAAAGTAACAGGGAAATAATGCTCAAAAGTACAATTTTATTAATACAGACTGGAGAGGCTTGGTTTACATCATGGGTCCATCCCTTAGTTAACAATTGGCTTTACACACTTCCAATTGGTTAACATCTGGCAGGGCACTTTTAATTGGCTTTATACACTTTCATCTGGCTTTAAACACTTCCAATTGGTTAACATATGGCAGAAAAATCTAATTTTTTTCTTCATAATTTCCAAAGCTCTTTTAGAATGTTTATTATCTCACATGAACATGAAAAGCAGTTGGTCAGTTAAAAATATTTTATAAAATATTTGTATAGATATATTTAGACAGACTGCCTTTAGGGTGGACTGGTTAGATCTCCAGCAGCAAGGAGATTAAACCAGTCCATCCTAAAGGAAATTAGTCCTGAATATTCATTGGAAGGACTGATGTTGAAGCTGAAACTCCAATACTTTGGCCACCTGATGCGAAGAGCTGACTCATTTGAAAAGACCCTGATGCTGGGAAAGATTGAGGGCAGGAGGAGAAGGGGACGACAGAGGATGAGATGGTTGGATGGCATCACCGACTCGATGGACATGAGTTTGGGTAAACTCCGGGAGATGGTGATGGACAGGGAGGCCTGGCGTGCTGCAGTCCATGGGGTCACAAAGAGTTGGAAACGACTGAGCTACTGAACTGAACTGAACTGATTTAGACAGACAAAAACTTTGACTAGGATTATATTAAATGTACTAAATTTGGGGAGAATTAACATCTTTATTGTATTCACTCTTTCTTTTCTCACAATATGTTTCTCCATTTATTCACATTTTCTTTCAGATCCCTTAGCAAAGGTTATTAATCTTACATATTTTATTTAACCTTATTGTATGCAAGGACTGTTAGTTCAGGAACACTGTAGATTCGTGTACACTATGCAATATGCTAAATCTTAAAGGATGAGGAATTAGCCGCAGGATGAAAAGAGAACACAAGTTCCAAGGCAAACGCCATAGTGTGTGTACAGGCACCAAGGAATGACGGAGAACAGTGCATTTGGGGAATTAAAAGTAGTCCAGTGTGGCAGAAGATTATACAGGACAAGTCTAAGATTATCAAGTTTGAAAATTTTACCTTATAAATTTTAAATTCCTATAGATGAGAAGTCACTGAAAGACTAAGAGGGGACAGCCTCATTAGATCTAAAAACATGTACTGATAGCAGGATGTGGCAGGAATCTTCAGAAATTAATCCTATCTCATTCTCTAACAACTAGATAAAATAATCCCTTCTTCAGAACAAACCAATTTTCTGATCCCTCCTAATCTATACCCAGCCAACTGAACTACCGGAATATTTTCTTTATAGTCTTTAACAATCTGAGCATTAACTGGGCCCTCTGCACTAAACTGACCTTTCCTCTCCCACCAATCTGCAGCCTGGCTAACTCTCCTGCTTGCTATTAGGCCTCCTCTCTCCAGAGAAGCCTTTCTACCTACCGTCCAATCCGCTGGCTCCACCTCACCCTGACACTATTAATAATAACAAAGATTACTGACCAGATGCTTACTATGTGCCTTTGGTGAGGGGCAGCTATTATGCTTATTTTAGAGGGCAGGCTAACGGAGGTTTTCAGAGATGTGGCAACTTCCAAGATCACATCACTACTGAAGCAGAAGTCTCTGATTCAAATCCCCAGGCTTTAAAGTCTAATAGGAGTGTGAGGTCACAGCACTGCAGCTCAAGTGGTACACGACGGGAAAAGGAGGAGAAGCTCTTCTGCAAACCTCGCCTACTTGCCAGAGGCCCCGCCTCTCGGAAGAGCCTATTGTCTCTTAACAAGGGGAACAGCTTGACTTAAGCGGCCCTTGAGGAGCAGCTACAACGTCACTCCAATGACGGGACTGCTAAGGTTGCTCAGGGTGGCACTTAACCAGCCCTGAGAAAGCAAAGCTGTGTATCAGTGTGAACCTCAGCTCTCCCTGCACCACCTGGGAACTTCCTCCTCCCTCCCTCCCCACCGACACACACCCTCCAGTGCCTGCACTGGTGGGATGATGCCCCTACTCATTTTGAAAGCTCTGATGGATGGGCAAGTAGCCCAGCAGACAGTGGAGGGAGCATATACTAGAAGACTTAAGAAGACACTGGCCAGATGCCATATTTCAGGCCTCCTCTCAAGATTCTGAAGCTGCTTCACTTACTGGTCTCCAAGCCAGAAGTTCAACTACATCAGCAATCAGCAGAACTGGGACCTGGAAGATTAGTGACCTGCAAATGTTTTGCTAGTACATCCACTGGCATCATTTTGGGGAAAAAAAAAAAAAAACTCTGTCCCTCTGAAACATTTCAAGTTGATATCAAAATCTTCACCGTATGTTTAAGGATGTAGCTTCCAGCATACTGTAAAAATTGACATTTTAAAATATAAATTACACTACTTTTTAAAATCTATCCTGCAGAACCTAAATACCCGAGTGATTTTAAAACCCATCACTGTCCATTTAAAAATTCATGGACTGACTCTTCCTGAACAGGTGGAAATTTTACACTCTTCCTTTCCCTTTTCTTTATATTCTATTTCCCCATATAACTTTTATAGCTTTAAGTCCTGATATAATTTTGTGCTTTTAATCTTTATTACCCTATCTTATTTCTCTCTCACACACACACACACTCACAGACACCTGTGTATATACTAAATTTGTTTTCATTGTAGCCTTAAAGTTCTAAGTGTTAAAATAGTAGCTTCAGAGTAGTTATCAATAAAATTATTAGTACAAAATAGACCAAAATAACTTCTACATTTGATAATTATCTATACATAAAAAGGGGCTTCCCTGCGGCTCAACTGGTAAAGAATCTGCCTGCAATGAAGGAAACCTGGATTCAGTCCCTGGGTTGGGAAGATTCCCTGGAGAAGAGAAAGGCTACCCACTCCAGTATTCTGGCCTGGAGAATAAGACTATATAGCCCATGGCGTCGCAAAGAGTTGGCCACTACTGAGCAACTTTCACTTTCCTTCTAAACATAAAAAGAGAAAAAAAAATAAAAAATAAACATAAAAATAAAAAATTCATAGGAAATGGCTCCCTTATTGAAACTAGATGCATCCAGGAATGAATATTACCTAGTGCTATAATGACCAGGGTTCAACATCAATTTCTGTTTCTGTGGTGGCTCAGTGGTAAAGAATCTGCCTGCAATACAGGAGATGTGGGTTCGATCCCTGGGTCAGGAAGATCCCCTGGAGAAGGAAATGGCAACCCGCTCCAGTGTTCTGGACTGGAAAATCCCACAGAGAAGCCTGGTGGGATGCAATTCAGGGGTCTCAAAAGAGTTGGGACACAACTGAGCGACTAAATAACAACAACAAATAATGACCAGGGTTCAACATCAATTCCTATTTTATGTTTTTAGAAGGAGTAAGAAAAACCTTCACTTAAATAAGTAGATGAGAATTAAATACATTTTGCTAAAGCAATGTCTCCCTTTTGCTAAAATATTTTCTGTTATGATCTCCACTCACCAAATTAAATATCTTCAGAAAGATTTTAAGTGATTTGTTAGCTAACAGCTCAATTGCAAGTCCTTTACTTTTGCTAAAAGCAAAACTTGGAAGACCATCTGACCTGTCAAAGAATTTACACTGCAGTCCCATAGTTTCTTGCAGAGGGATTTCTGATACCCTGGAGGGAATGCATTGTGGAAGAGTCAGGATAGTGAAAGTGAGACCTTTTTTGTAAAGTGGGACAAAGACAATTGTAGAAGGGCAGGTTGGGAAAGAGGAATAAGCACCCCCTTAATCAAGGGAAGCAGAGTAATCCTCTGAAAGAACATATATGAAAGCTGAGCATCTGGAAGTCGATCACAATAACTTGCCTGTGCTCACATATCCCTTGAAAATTGCGTATTATTTGGACAATGCCTGTTACATAATTTTCAACTTTTCTGTGATTTTCTTTTCTTTACTACTTTATTCTCCATTCTATCTAATGATGAGGATAAAAAATTATCTTATCTACACATTGCTAAGTACCACTGCTTAGTTCGTGTAACTGCACAGATTATAGAACCCACAAAAAGAGTTCATGGTTAAAATAAAGAAATCCCTTCTGTTTTACTGCCCACTAGAGAGCGCTCATACAATCATTTTAAAAGTCTGGTTTAGAAATCCAGAAATAATCAATTCACAGATGTCCATCAAGATATGTTCTTGAGCCATTTTATTTTTAGTCTGCAGAGATTTTAATAATGAGCTGATTGTCTCCTAGTCTTTCTTGACATTGTTTCCTGCTTCCCTTCCATGGAAGGGCTGCACCACAGGCGATGAGAGCATACTGAGGGCCCTTTAAAGACACGACATGAATGGGCTCACCTGAAGAGCATGTAGGTAACAAGGAAAAAACTGAATCAGGGTAAATTCAACTTCAAAGGGCTGTTCAGAGGATGACGGCAAGAAAGATTTTTGCAGAGCATAAAATTAAACACTAAATCTTCCCCACTACTGTAACTAAAAATACTGAGCAAATTATTAGCTTTCTAGATAGCACAAGAACCCACTCTCCTTCCCCTGAAAGTACACAGACTCTGCAAGCACAATATTATGTCTTGGAAATAAACAGTTAAAAAACAAAAACCCTTCTGTTCTTCTTTCCCCATGCCATGCTCCATGCTCAGGCTACTTTCTAAGCAGAGAAAGCCTTTATTTTGTTTACGGCAAATTTAGCACATGTTTATGCAAAACGTAAATTACCATGAAAACCCAACAAAAAGGTAGATGAAGCAGAAGGCATGGCTAATCAAATGGATGTGAGGTTCACTGCTCATTTTGGTTAGGGTCAAATAATAATTTATAAATCTGTCTGAGCACATTAAGCATAAAAATAACTCATTACAGGGTCTGAGTAGCCAGATTACTGTTGTCTGAAGACAATACACCTCTTGAAATTTTTTTTAATCATCCATTTATGCCTAATTACATCCAAGGTACGAGAGACATATAGAATAGGGGTGACCAGTAGGAGTTTGTGAACCAGAGAGGCAAATTGAAACCCTAGTTTCTAGAACAAACCCTAGTTCTGACACTTAGTAGCTGAGTGAACCTGGGCAAATTCTAATACTTAAACTATGTGCAGTTCCCTCACGTGAAAAGTAGGAAATCTGGGAGGTTTCTTCCAAGCATCAAATAAAGGCAGTATTGCCTGGCACATAATAAGCATGCTGCAGATGTCTGGTTATGGGGCTATTCTATCTGAGTTAACTCTGCATACTGAAAACCTCATGAACTAATTACATACTTCACTATTCATCCCTCTTTTCTTCTCTGTGACAGAAGACGCTCATTTAAAAACACTAGTTTTGAAAAAAATCTCCAACTATAAACTACATTTTCAAGCTACAGTATTTACAAGTTTCTAAAACAGTTTGTCTAAAATTACTTCAGAACCATCTCAGACTTTGTCAAATTACCAAGACCTGGCTTCTCCTCAGGTCTTTGCTGTCACCATCAGGCCTTGTTACGTGGGACTAGGTACTCCTGCCTACTTCTATTGGGATACTTACAGAATTAGCAGTTTATATAGTTTTAATCATGCTCCTCCTCTCCTATACCAGACTGTCAGAAAACTGGACATGGGGACTGTCTTACTGTTTCAGGGTATGGCATAGTGCATCAGACACTCAATGTAAAGAACCCATAGAGTAACATACTGATCAAATGCAAAACTCACTGAACATACAAATCAAACTTCTCTCGTGTCTATGCACTGAATTATTTCTCATTTCTGTTTTCTACAAAACATTTAAATAATTTGTGTATGTGTGTGCATAGGCACGTATGTTCAAAACATAAAGCTAAAGACATACAGAAGAAACATGATTACAAAACAAAGTGACTTTAGCCAAGATAAAGCAGTGATGGCTTTAAAGATTTGTTGCGTTATCTCCTGAATTTTCAGAAATTAGTCAAATATCCTCAGAAGTTTAAAAACATTTCCGTTACAGTATAATTAATTTTGTCAGACTGGTGGGCAGTCTGGTTTCAAAGATTAAAGCAATTAATCAGGGCAAGGTTTAACAATGTTTGCTTATAACAAAATTATGACTACAAACTTTTCTTTCTCCCTTTTCCATCTTCCTATGATTCAAGCTATTTCCTCTTTCTTCTCTTCTGAAGCTACAGCAAGAAATGGTAGCCAGGTTTAAACTCTTATATCTTCACAGTACCCCTATCCCAGAAGGGTTTATTTCTTGTTCTTTCATAAAGCATCAAAAGATGAATTATACTAACCTTACTGTATTCCATGCATCTCCAAGTTCTTTGGAATACTGCTTTTCAAAATGATCCAATACAACTTTGCAAATCTGTTTTCCAAGCTTCGTCTCTGGTTTTGCTTTCAGCTATGATGATAAGAAAAGTTTGCTGACACATTCTATTACAAATCTACTGAATTTCAACATTACTAGCACAGTCTTTTTTCTTAAGATAACACTTTTTTCTCCCCCCTCATAATTACCAGTTAAGATAGGAGCTATACCTCACACGTAATAAAACTATATTATCATACTCTATCTACTTATAAAAAACGTTTCTCCAAATGATTGCTCAAATATAAGGCAAAAGGTGAAGTGACATTGTGGTGCTAACATATGAATGTGTGTCAAAAGAACAAAATTAACCTACATCAGGGGAACTCAGGAAAAAGCACGTGGGGAGTCTGTATTATCTTAGCAATATTTTTTGTAAATGTAAAATTATTCCAAAATAAAGTGAATTTAGAAGAAAAGTTAGTTTCCTATGGAAACTTCGCTGCAGCTTTATCTCATTTACTAATTCAAAGGAGTTTATCGAAGGCCAATTATATAACAGACATTCTTCTAATCTCCCAGCATAACACGGGGACAAGGACAGTTTCAGCCTTCCAAGATCCTGCATTCCGCTCAAAGTTGAAAGGATACTAAAGCCTGCAGGCTACAGTGCAGACCGCTTACTTGCGGCGGAGGTGAGTCTTGGGAGAAAACAGAGAACGCTCAAGAGCAAGCGTCAAAACACTGAGCATTATTCTAGGGCTTTGGACTGAAGCTAAAGAAAGCCGAAGATCACCAAGTTGCCCGCATCCCAGCCACCTCCCTCGCAACGTCATCGGTCGGTAATGCTTCTGGCTCAGGGACGCGGCTGGGTCCCAGCCCTCACCAAGGTCAACACCATCCCGTCAGGAGAGATCAAACAAGAAATCAATCCCACCGGGTATCTAAAGCTTCAAGGGAACCAAATGAACAACCCGTCTTCCGATTTTCGCCGGAATTCTCTCCCATCCCTCACGTTTCCGGTTCAACTTATCGCGAGATTCTGTTTTGCCCGAGTTATGAAATCTCGCCTATTGAAAGATCCAGGTCCCGCGAGGCTTTCCCTGGTGGCTCAGAAGGTAAAGACTCCGCCTGTAGTGCGGAATGCCTAGGTTCAATCCCTGGGTCGGGAGCATCCCCTGGAAAAGGGAATGGCAACCCACTCCAGTAATCTTGCCTGGTGAATTCCATGGACAGAGAAGCCTGGCAGGCTATAGTCCATGGGGTCACAAAGAGTCGGACACGACGTGTCCCGCGAGGGGCAAGAACAAAGTTACTTCAATAGTGGGTGGAGGAGGCAGTGCCGACCTACTCCGGGGGCGTGGCCGGAGCCCCTGGGCGGAGACTTGGGCAGAGGTCCTTCAGAAACCACGCCTCACTCTGAAAAATTTCTTTCTGCCCTGTATTTGAAGTTCAGAACAAGAATGGAAGTGTTTGTCACTGTTGTTGTGCAATCGCTCAATCGTGCCTGACTCCGCGACCCCATGGACTGCAGCTCTCCAGGATTCCCTGTCCATCACAACTCCAGTTTACTCAAACTCATGTCCGTTGGGTCGGTGATACCATCCAATCATCTCTTCCTCTGTTGTCCCCTTCTCCTGCTACCTTTAATCTTTTCCAGAATCAGGTGTTTTTTCTAATAAGTCAGCTTGTTGTATGATCGTTGCTTTAAGATGTTCTCAGAGGCGAGGATAGTTACTGCTAATATACCAAATCTGAAGATTCCCATTAGCCCAGATATTCAGGACTCAAGATAAAGGGACGGATATGATGAAAAAAAATTGTTACGCGTTTCCTAGAGATGGCTCAGTGGAATAATCTCTCAGGGAGAGATAAAGGATTAAGTTGATTTAAATACACAGGTAAAACGTTTAGCATAGAGATTAAGAAACAGTTAACACCCAAATGTTAGCTGCTACTGTGTATTTTATTCACTATCTTGATGTTAGTGATTATCACCAAGGTCTGATACCAAATGCTGACTAACAAAATGACCTTACATTCTAACACCCTAAAAAATGAACCTCCTCACCCACTTTTACTAGGGGAAGGGTTACTGGTTCTCTGGAAAGGATCACACCCATTCTGATAGGAATAGCAATTTATTTGCTCTTTTAGTGTTACTCTTTAGTTGTTCCCTTGTAATATCAATTAGCAATTTATCAGAGAAAGTGCTAAGGTAGTGCCTAATATTTAATGAGCATCATCATTTTGAGACCCTTGATGCTCAAAATATCAGTCTTAAGTATATGCTATAAGTGCAAATCTTAAGACCATGTAAAAAGATAAATTTCACTACCTCTATTGTGATTTGAAGCTTAATATATTTATTTATTTAAACAAGTTATCCAATAATTAAAAATGAATTTAATTTGGTATAAAAAAAGTACAGTATTAAGGAGGTGATTAAATGCATCATTTTATTGAAAGTTTAAGGAAAAATCATTAGTGTACCTTTAAGCCTCTAAGAGATTTCATATAGTTTATTTTTTTCTGTACGTCTTACAGATGGTTGCATTTAATGAATCAATGTGGTAGTGGTATAATTGCAATGTAGACATATAAAAAACTTTTAAGAAGGTAGAAATCATATATACTATTTTTCTTTAAGGGAAAGGGGATATGTTATGCTTGGAAAGAGGTCATATTAGTTATTATATTGTTTTGTAACTTCTTCTTTAGCATAATTGTTTTCTGATTTTTATTGAAAAAAAAACCTTTTAAGCCTATGAGAATGAAAATCATGCATAATGCCACTAGAAGTAATCACTATTAACATTTTGGTGTGTTTCTCTAATTTTATGCATTTTCAAATTTGCTAAAAATATAAGATTGTACCCTGTTTTAATAAGCATTTTTTAATTAAAAATTCTTCATATACAGTACATAATTTCTAGAAGTTGCATGGTATTTGAAAGTACATAGGTTAACATACTTACTATCTTATTGATAGACTTTTTCATGATCTTTGCATCTTGTAATTTTCAATTATGTCCTTAGTCTGGTAGATCTTACAATCTTATTACTGTATTTCTGTTGTAAATTACCTACTCATATCCATTTATCAGGAGCTTAGTGCTATTTATATTTACCTCTATATTAGAGCTATTAACCATATCACATTTTCAAGTACTTTTCCAATTTTTCTTAAAATCATGATTTTAAACGTGAAAATATTTTAAATTTGTATGCAATTGTTTGTAACTGATTCCACTGCTTGGAAATTTCTTCTCACAGAGGGGAGCTGCTTCAGTTTCTTTCTCCCTTTTTTCTTTGACCTTTCTCATTTGACCTGCTAATCTATTAGAATCAATATCAGTATCGTAAAAATATTAATGGATTTCCCTTACCTGACACCAAATAGCTACTGGAGAATAAACAAAGTTCTACACTTAGTTTTAAGAAGAGAAACTGTTAGAGGCAGACTTGTTTTTGCAAACATGAGATAAGAAGCTGACATGAGAGTAAGCTGACACAAACACCAGAAACTGTACTAGGTTTTAAAATTGCTATTATTATGATAAAGACTGAAGCAGCTTAAGAATATAAGGACTTACTGCTATACAAGAAAATAATTTCTACATACCTATGCAATTTTATTGTGAGGTTATTTAAGAAGTGTTTCAGAATAAACCAGGAATTTTCATATTTATATAAAACACCTCTGACAGTGCTTCATGTTTAGGTTTATTCATCAAAAAGGTAAAGACAGGGTTTGTAAGTGAAACAATCTGATATCAAGAGTGTTAGCTTCTTAAATTGAATGGCAGAAAAACACAACAGAGAAACTTACCATCAATGCAGGAGAACACAGTTACAGGCAAGGCAATCTTGGACTTCACTTTAGTACTCAGCTGAGACTCTCACTTTTTTATTAACAGCCCTCCAAAGTGGTGTCTACAAACTACAGCTGACAATAATCCTCTGGAGCTGGGAAGTGAAGATAGTAACTGGTATTTAACTTTTTTTCTAATCTTTAAAAAGTTAGGAGGGCATATATACAAAATACGGGAGAACATGTACATAATTAAGGGCTGAAACTTTTCCCCTGAAAATTCCTTATGTTGAAGCCCTAACTCTCCCCTCCCCTGCCCTCTCCTATCCATTACCTCAGAATGTGACTGTTTGGAAATAGGGCCTTTTCAGAAGTGATTAAGTTAAAGGGAGTCCTTTAGGGTGGGTCCTAATCGAATTGATTGGGGTCCTTATAAAAGAGGAAATTTGGGCACTCTGAGCCACTAACAGCAAATGCACACAGAGAAAAGGCCATGTGAAGACACAGGGAGGAGGCGGCCAGGTAAGCCAAGGAGAAACGTTTCAGACAAGGTTGCCAACATCTTGATCTTGGACTTCCAGGCTTCAGAGCTATGAGAAAATAGATGTCTCTTGTTTAAGTCACCCAGTCTGTGGTACTCTTTGTTCTGGCAGTCCTAGCAAACTAATACAGTAACTTTATATTTATTGTATACCAAAAGCGTTTACTGAAAAGGATGTATAAAATTTGGAGATCACTAGTTCATTTACCCAGGACATAAGTTGTTTTCTCATCATCAGGCAAAAAGAATTCACAACTCCTGCTGTAACCTGACAAATGATTTTCTTCATATTTTCCATTTAACATAAACTCCCATTCAATAAAGAAAATTCATTTCTGATTTACTATTTAGGAAAAAAGACTGCTATTATGTTTCCACAAAGACAATGGATTATTACTATTTTGATAATTTAAAGCATTTTTAATGTAAGCTTTGAAATATATTAATTTATTTTTTGGATACACTGGAATGTATTTCTTGATAAACTAGAGGGTATTAGCAGAATCTCAGCTGCAAAGTATACTTAAGTTAGAGAAAAATTTTAAGTGGCAGAGCAAAGGATAACAAAATATATAACCTATAGCTTTATTTACATAGGCAGTGTCATTTTTTATAAGCTTTTGCCATCTGCAGGAATAGTATTTCTTTAATGGGAGAAACTGAATAATACAAAAAGCATAGCAAATAGAACCAAGTAGCAAATAAAATAAAATATTGCCATAGTAAAAGAATACTAAGTAAGAGATCAGCCTCAAACGTAATGGCATATTCTAATGCTGAATGAGCCTCAACTATTCACAGGAAGTTTTACAAATTCAGTTCAGTTCAGTTGCTCAGTTGTGTCCAACTCTTTGCGACCCCATGGACTGCAGCATGCCAGGCTTCCCTGTCCATCACCAATTCTTGGAGCTTATTCAAACTCATGTCCATTGAGTCGGCAATGCCATCCAACCATCTCATCCTGTGTTGTCCCCTTCTCTTCCTGCCTTCAATCATTCCCAGCATCAGGGTCTTTTCTAATGAGTCAGCTCTTCCCATCAGGTGGCCAAAATATTGGAGCTTCAGCTTCATCATCAGTCCTTCCAGTGAATATTCAGGACTGATCTCCTTTAGGATGGACTGGTTGGATCTCCTTGCTGTTCAAGCGACTCTCAAGAGTCTTCTCCAACACCACAGTTCAAAAGCATCAATTCTTCGGCACTCAGCTTTCTTTATAGTCCAACTCTCACATCCATACATGACCACTGGAAAAACCATGGCTTTGACTGGATGGACCTATGTTGGCAAAGTAATGTCTCTACTTTCTAATGTGCTATCTAGGTTTGTCATAGCTTTTCTCCCAAGGAGCAAGCATCTTTTAATTTCATGGCTGTGTGCAATGTTTACAAATTAGGTGAATTCTATTCTATAATTTGGCACTTAAAAAGCATTTAATCTTAAACCTGCAGAAAACATGGCATTTCAGAAAGGTAAAGAGCATTACAGTATACTAACACATATATATGGACTTTAGAAAGATGGTAATGATAACCCTATATGCAAAACAGAAAAAGAGACTCAGATGTATAGAACAGACTTGTGGACTCTGGGAGAAGGCGAGGGTGGGATGTTTCAAGAGAACAGCATCGAAACATGTATATTATCTAGGGTGAAACAGATCACCAGCCCAGGTTGGATACATGAGACAAGTGCTCGGGCCTGGTGCACTGGGAAGACCCAGAGGGATCGGGTGGAGAGGGAGGTGGGAGGGGGGACTGGAATGGGGAATACATGTAAATCCATGGCTAATTCATTTCAATGTATGACAAAAACTACTGTAATGATGTAAAGTAATTAGCCTCCAACTAATAAAAATAAATGGAAAAAAAATAAATAAATAAAAATAAATTAAAAAAAAAAGAAAACATGGCATTTAATTTTTACAAAATTATGAATTTGCTTCCTCCATTATAAAAGACAAATTAAAAAACCTAGTTTGAAAAACTGAGGAAAACACAATAGCTAAAATAGTTTAGCATTTTTCGACATTTCTTTCTACTGTTGTTTCTAGAAATAGTATAAAAAACTATTTTATACTCATATCAATGACCTACAAAATTGTATATATGTTATATATTTTACACATAAAAGGTATACAGAATTATCCTCCAAATAAGTGAAGCTGTATCTTTTGGATAATAGTTGTATCTCAAGAGACAGACCTTGAGTCATCTAGAATCGTAAGGCAATACGATGTTGTTTTTCAGTCTTTTAACGTTTGTCTCACATATATAAAAATGTATGCAGAGAGAAAAGTTTTTAATGAAAAACAAAAAAAATGTATTATTTTAATTTCTCAACTTAAAATGTCAACAATCATATTTTTAAAAATCCTTTATTTTATTACCAAAAAGAAATCATTTAAGTTTCTCAAATGAAAAACAAAACAACATACTGATACAAGCTATTTTTATTGTGTGAAAATGTCATAATTCATAGTGATTATGAAAATGCAGCATATAACAAAATAGGCATTTTACTTGTTAAAAGCCATGTGGATTTACAAAACTAAAAATATTTTTAGAATGTGTTAAGGATACAAATTAATTTTTGAGATATATAAAACATTCTATTTTACCATATATTTAATTTCAAAATCTTAAAAATTATTTTCATTTATTTTTATTAAATGAACTCAGTAATTATTGTACACTAATCACTGGTAGGATACAAAAATTTTAAAGATATATGTATTCTCAAACAAGATGAATAGTAAAAATGCAAAAGTATGAGTTCAGGTTTTAAAAAATGAACTAATGTAAATTTTACAAAAAGGAACCAAGAAGATATACAAGCCAGTTTTTTCTCTAAAAGCCAATATAAACTTTACATTCTGTCTTCTCATGTTACTGTTCCTAACACTTCAGCCACCTATCAAATTTGGGTTGTTATGAATTTTGTATCTGAAGTAGAATGCTTTCTACTCAGCGCACTAGGTAAGTTCCATGTACAAAACTCAGACAAACTGCATATGATGCTCAAAATGAACATTTTTAAAGTAAATAATTGTATTAAACTGCCTTAGACATGCTTAATCGTGTTATTGTCAGATATCAGTATATATATATATCTGTTATCAGTATAAGTTGCCAAACTGACTTACCAGTTTTAACAAGGTGATTTCTGTTTAGAGTATTTTCACCTTGATGTATATGGATGCTTTTAATTAAACATTGTAATCTATTTTCAAAAGATAACTAAAAGTTTGTCTCAACGCCAGTTGGAAGACAGAACATATAGATGCCATTCTTCAGTGCAAGGGAAGTACTACTATTTTAAATTATTTTGGAATTGTTTCTTTATAAATGTAACTTAAACCAACATTTATTCTTATTTTGTTAGTACCCAAGCATTTCCCACTTATAAAATAAAGTTTTGGACTATAGTAGCTTTCTTGGTCTTTCTGCCTTTAACTTCAAGACACAAAAGAGGTAGAATAACCTACAAGAGTTACTAAAACTTCTGACAGAACAAGGAGTGAGAAGGAGCACCTTGATTTCTGAAAAGATCTAATCTTTGAAAGAGGGGTTTACTGGGACTTTTAACAGTATCTCATAAAACATTTCTATTAACTTAAAAAGCATTTAAGTCAAAAGGAATTGCAAGTGTCTTTCATTTATTGGGAATGTTGTCAAAGAAAACAAACAGCAACAAACATTCAAGTAATTAGTGCTTTCAAATAACATAATATGGTAAAATAAAAATCTGGGAATCTACTTTAAAAATACCTTAAGGTCAAATTAAGATGTATACTTAAAGAGCAATACTATTATAAAACATACTTCAAACCATATAAATATATCTCATTTGTACAGTTCATGTCTGTCAAGTAAATCAATTCCATTTTCCAGACACAGTTGAAACAAACCATCTATAGAAAAGTGCACAGTCAATATCATAGTAATTAAAATCCTTAAACAAAATTTCTAGAAAAATATAAAAAGTTAAAAATTGAGGTTATAAATTCCCAAGAATCCCCTTTCCATGCACATATATCCTACAAACATTTAAAATAAAGAAATAAAGACTATTAAATAGTAAAGGAAGTGTAGAGAGTCCATTGGCTCTTTTTCTGAACAGGTTTTCCTTCAGGAATACACCCATGAGTGGGGATGTATAAACCAGAGTCAACACTAACTCTTGCTAACTTGTTCCAAACGCTCATCCCACTTGCTGGTCTTTTTTTTTTAAACCATGAAGACCATGGATAAGTAATTAATGATCAGAACAGTCAGGTCTTTGGCTCACTGATATTGTTACGGTTATCTTGCCCCAGTCATCGATGTTTAAGGTTTTCCTCTGTTGAGAAAGAAGGCCCTGCAGTTCATCTTGCTGATGTAAAGAGAGCACATCCATATGATGTGGTTATGAGATGACATCGTGAGCATCACTGTTAGGTCTCTGTCGCACAGCCACGGGAGGCAGTGGCTTTCCATAGAAATCTGTGTAAAGAAGGTACACCAAAAATATGTAATTGTTATGGTAAATCAAGATTTCTGACACAATTCATTTATTTCCAACCAACACCTTTAAAAGAGTAAGAAACTCTGACCTTGTAAGTGAAGCAATGCGTAGGGCAAATTGGGGAAAAAAGTCTGAATTGGAAAAAACTTGAATAAATTCAGAAAACAACCACTAGGGCAAATTTTTAACTCGACGTTATAAACTAATCTCTACTGATTTAATATAAAGCTGCACCTAATATATATATTATTTCCAAGTAAGTGTTCACATCAGAACAAAACAAATAACAAACATCCAAAACTAATGGAACCTGTTGACAAAGCCCTGATAAAAGCAGTATTTGTACAATCCATGTTCTTATCCAATGTTTATTATTTCTAAGAATTTGGTAAAAAAACTAATTATCTTAGTGTTCTGGTATTAGGAGTATTTTACAATGATACTTCAGTATAGTTCATTGATTTAGGGCATATTTGATACAAAAACTGTCTTAATTTGTACTTCCTAATAGGTTCCTACCCTTAATTATCATAAATTGGTTTATAAATTTTAATAGCATAAGGAAACTTCAGTTTTTCTGGCCTATTACCCAAAAATTATTCTAGAAGCAAAGGTGTTCAAGGTCACTGGAAATAAATATATTAAAAATGTATTAAGGGGCCCCATTTCCAGTTCTGCTCATGCCAGAGTTCAGCTAAGTGGCTCCATGATATTGCTGCCTCAGCATCCATTTTGTCTGGCCAACTGGCCTAAGGGGGTCTTAAATAGATACTAGCACCTCATGCAAGAACATGCCCTAGAAAACAGCTTGCAAAATTAGATTAGTTGTAAATGTATATTGCAAACTCTAAGGCTACCACTAACAAAAGTCTATGACAAAGGAGGCAAGAATGTATAGTGGAGAAAAGACAGCATCTTCAATACGTGGTATTGGGGAAACTGGAGAGTCATGTGCAAAACAATCAGACTGGATCACTTTCTCACACTGCATACAAACATAAACCTTAAATGACTAAACATAAAATCCAAAACCATAAAACTCCTATAAGAAAACACAGGCAGTACACACTTTGACATTGGTCTTAATATTTTTTAGGTATGTCTCCTCAATCAAGAGAAACAAAGGAAAAATCAAAAAGTGGGGCTGTATCAAACTAAAAAGCTTTCACACAGCAAGGAAACTATCAACAAAAGAAGAGCCTACTGAATGGGAGGAGATACTTGCAAATAATATATCTAATAAGGAGTTAATATCCAAACCACACAAAGAACTCATACAACTCAATATCCCAAAAAAATAAAAAATTTAAAAAGTGGGCTAGAAGATCTGAAAAGACTTTAATCCAAAAAAAAAAAAAAAAAGGCCAAACGAAAAAAGAAAAAAAGGTCAAAAACAACAATCATCAAGGAAATGCAAATCAAGGCCACAATGAGGTATCACCTCACACCTGATGGAATAGCCATCATCAAAAACAACACACATAACAAACACTGGCGAAGATATGAAGAAAAGGAAACCTCATGCACTGCTGGTAGGAATGTAGACAGCACAGCAGCCGCCACTATGCAAAAGTGTATGGAGATGCCTCCAAAAGTTAAAAATAGAACTACCATACAATCCAGCAATTCTACTTCTGGGTATTTTTCCAAAGAAAACAAAAATACTAATTTAAAAAGATACATGCACCCCTATATTCATTACAGCATTATTCACAATAGCCAAGATATGGAAGCAAACTAAGTGCCCTTCAACAGAGGAATGGATAAAGATGTCACACACACACACACACACACACACACACACACACATACACACACACACAATAATTAAGCCATAAAAAACAAGGAACATGGATGGACTTAGTAGTATGCTAAGTGAAATAAGTCAAAGAAAGACAAATAGCGTATAATTTTACTTATCTGTGGAATCTAAAAAACAAACAAAAAAAACAAAAGAACAAACACAACAGCAACAGAGTCAGATAGAGGACAAACAGACGGTTGCTGGACAGAGGAGAGGGATGGCAAGGCAGCAGGTTGGGGTGCAGGAATGAGTGAAATAGGTGAGGGAAATTAACAGGTACAAATTTCCAGTTACAAAATAAATGAGTCACAGGGATGAAATGTACAGAGGGGGGAATACAGTCAGTAATAATCTTTGCATCTTTGGTGATTAAGGTGGTCAAAAGGTACAAACTTCCAGTTATAAAATAAGTACTAGGAATGTAATATAAAACATTATTAATATAATTACATGATTAACACTGCTGTATGTTATATATGAAAGTTGTTAAAAGAATAAGTCCTAAGAGTTCTCATCACAAGAAAAAAAAATTTTCCTTTTTTTTTTTCCATTTTAATCTGTATAGGATGATGCATTTCATTTACTTAATTTACTGTGGCAAACTTTTCATGATGTATGTAAGTCAAAACATTACGCTATACACTTTAAACTTATACAGTGCTTTAGATTAATTATATTTCAATAAAACTGGAAGGGAAAAATAAAAAATAAAATAATGAATAAATTTCAATGAAGGAAAGAGTAACAGAAAATTACAATTAGGCAAATACCACAGTAAAAATCATTGCACACACAATCCAATGACAGATGCTAAAACAGAAGCTAAAGTTTGTGGAGAACAGAATATTTGCATAATCTCAAAATATCACTTCAGTGATATTTACTAATTACAAAGAAAACAGTAACATTTTACAATGTGGCAAATATCACCTTATTCAAATGATGGGAGGTTAGCACCACCAATAATGAGACTTCCCAACATCATGTACACCCCTCCTTCATTTTGAGCATCAATCTGGTTCAACAATGAGAGGTGTTCTTGTGTCATCAGTATGCAGCCTCTACCAATGTACCACAGACAATGCTATATTTGCCACAATTATGTCATTACTTAAAAAAATTTTAAATCAACTGTATATTCTCTCCTTAAAAAAAAACTAGGAGAAAATGATTGTTCAAGCAACTATAAATTTAAAGCGAATACTAAGCTGCCATGATGCTCTAACAAATCTTAATATAACAATGTTAATAAAATGAATTAAAAGTATGGATTTCAAAGCTGAATAGACCTAACTTCAAATTCTGTGTCATTTATAGCTATGTGAGCTAGGGTGTAGGATTCTCACACACAAAACTGCCCATCTGACAAGGCTATTAGAAGAATTAAAATGAGATAATGTACTTAAAAGTGCTTATCAATATGCCAGGGACATAGTATACAGTTATTAGTACTACTATTAATAAAATTATAAGATACAATTATTTTGATAAATTTAAAGTATGCCTTTTCTAATTTCTTGCTTTCAAAATTAATGAGAATTTTGACACATCACAGAACTCATGATTAAACTAGAATGAATATTATGTTTTACTTCTAGAATTGAAAAGTACCCAAATCACATACACGTGACAAGAAGTATCAATTGCAGTTGATTCTGTATTATATCATTTCCAGAAAATTATATCATTCTATATGAAACAGATTTCTTATTGTCTTAACTGTAGGGGATATAAGTTGACCATACTGACCAACTGATATGACCAAATTAATTGATACCATTTTAATAAAGGGCTTCAAACTTAACATACAAAATATAATCTTCATTCATATTTTAAGATTTGAAAATATTCTTTAGCTTTATACTTGGCATTTTGGGCCAACAGAATGTTTATTTCTCATAATGTGTAACGTTTATGAAGTATGGATTAAGAGTATTTACAAAGTGAATATAGATTCAGTTTTTAAATGTATTCTCTGAATGCATGTCTTACATATTACCCAGAGTGAGGTTTACAGAAAATAAAGCAATTAGAAAAGTAAAATTGAATTGCCATCAAGGAATCGATGTCTATAATCAAAGAATAAATAAAAATCTGCCTTAATTCCTAATTTGACTATAAAAAATTATTTTTCATCTCAATAAATTTTAAGTGCCAAACCCAAATGCAGTCAACTTAATTATTTCCCTTTGCTCATTATATGCCTGTTGTCTACTTCCCATTAACCACATTCAAATAAATATTTATTAATACACTTAGGAAAAAGAAGAGGATATGATGATAAAATTGGCAACTATCAGCATCTCAAACAAAAATCTCACAACAAATACTAAAAACTAATTTAAACTTTTTAATTACAATTTTAAATTTATTATACTGACTTTCTTCTCCATAATGAAAACAGAGTTGATCATACTTTTTCTTAGCTATACAAGGTATACTTTGACTTAAAATTTATGGGAAAAAAATAATGAAGATATTTTAAAACTTGTGAAGTTAGAATGTTTAATTCTCTGCTTGAGAAGTTAAATTTATTGATCTACTTAAAATTAACTGATATGTTAGAATAACAGTGGTCTTAAAATTTAACTAATTCATTATAATCCTTTTCTAGGAGTTCTAATTTAAAAATATAGGAGAGCAAAGAAAAAAAAACAAAAAACAACCTTCTTATTAGCCCATTTTCAACCTCTTTTTTAGTTGCTTTTAACTAATGTTCCCCCAGATGCTACCATTCTTTTCTCCTTATTTTACATACCTTCCCTCAGAAACAGTAAACTATCATTCCTTCAACTGCATTCATTCAGTAAACAAATATACAACATCTATTAGGGACAAAGCATTTCTATTATATGATGACAACTGAAAAACAAAACAAATACTACCTACATCCCCTTCCACCCACCTGAGTCCCCTTTCTCCACAGTTCCAGAATCTTATTTGCACTGATATATGGACATTTCCAAATAGATAAGTCTACAGACACCTCCAAAGCAAGTTTTCTTTCTCCTCATATATTGTCAGCATTAGAGACAGCACCAACCTTCTAGCCCCTTCAGCCAAATAATATTCTGTTCCTTTTCTTTCATCCCATACATTCATTCTTCATATAGAACTTATAACTGTTCAATATTCTCTCAACACATTTTTTATTCTCCATTCCAATTCCCATTCTTCACTTCTCACTCTGACCACTGCAATAGCTTCTAACTGGGATCCTAACCTTAGGTGTGGGCACAATCTAGTCTATACACAGTGACAAAAATTACTTTCCTAAACAATAACTCTTGTAATACTATTTCCTGTTAAAAATGTATATTGTCTCTTGTAAAATTAGCAAGTCTAGACATCTTAAATATATATGTGAGGCCCTAAACAATCTGGCTATAAGCCGTAATTCTAGTTTCAGTATCTCTGCAACTTTAAACTTCCTATTTCTTACCTGTTCCACCTACGTGAACCTAAGATCTAGTCACAAGTAACTTCATACTATTTTCCAAATTAAGCAATGTGTTTTCCCACCTCTCCATCTTTGACTAGTTTATTTCTTCTGCTTATTAACTCTTCTCACACATGTACGCATGTATATATATTTATATACACATACATTAGCACTACCTAATTGTTTCTAACAACATAGTGAATATTTAAGCTGATAATATATTCTAACATATACAATTTCAAAACATAAACAAACAAGAACTAATCTATTATAGTCAACGAAAACATCATGATGTAAAGTTAGCACCAAAAAGACATGTGACTTCACTGTTATTTTGAAGTTGAAGGACGAACCTTCTGTCTTTAGAAATTTAAAAAATCTTCTAATTTTCACTGCGAAGTGATCAAACCAGATAATCTTAAGAGAAATCAGTTCTGAATATTCATTGGAAGGACTGATGCTGAAGTTGAAGATCCAATACTTTGGCCACCTGATGCGAAGAACTGACTCATTGAAAAAGACTCTGATGCTGGGAAAGACCAAAGGCAGGAGAAGCAGATGACAGAGGACTAGACAGTTGGATAGCATCACCAACTCGACAGACATGAGCTTGAGCAAGCTCCGGGAGTTAGTGATGGACGAGGAAGCCTGGCATGCTGCAGGCCATGAGATAGCAAAGAGTGGGACACAACTGAGCGATTGAACTGAACTGAATGATTATGAAGAAATATTTCATTATTGATACGGTATTCAAAAAAAGAAAGCAACCAGAACACTTAAATTTAAATACTTTTTGAATAAAATAGTTTATATAGTTTGCTATAATTTCAAATTATATATAATGCTTTTTGAAAGATTAAACTTCTGAATTTTTCTTTTGTAGTAAATGAATCTTCTTAGGAAACCAAGTTCAAGATTAGGTAAACAGAGTTATCAAAAAGGAAATGAGATGTTCTTGATGAATTTTATTGAACTACAATTCTACACGTATAAGTCATCCTTTTGCATGTGAGAAATCAGAACTTCTGCCTGTTGTAAAAGGCAGCTCTGTATTCCCCACTGTCCGTCTTCAAGTTTCCAGGCGGAGCTCTTACACCCTATATTGGCTGCACTACACCTAATGTTCATTTCATCCACAAAAGTGTTTTCTTGATTCAGTGAAGACTTTCGTAACTGCCCTGGTGGTTCAGATGGTAAAGCGTCTGCCTACAATGCAGGATACGTGGGTTCAATCCCTGGGTCAGGAAGATCTCCTGGAGAAGGAAATGGCAACCCACTCCAGTATTCTTGCCTGGAAAATCTCCATGGACGGAGGAGCCTGGCAGGCTACAGTCCATGGGGTCGCAAAGAGTCGGACACGACTGAGCGACTTCACTTTTACTAAGCTGAACTTTATCTGGTTTCTGACTTGGTTTCTGATCTTACAAACTGCGTTACTCTTTACTTTATTGTACTTTCAGCAGCTGAGTATCCTTAGAAGCAGAGAAAGAGCAATTACAGAAGCCCTGGTGGCTCAGATGGTAAAGCGTCTGCCTGCAATTCAAGAGACCAGGGTTTGATCCCCGGGTCGGGAAGATGCCCTGGAGAAGTAAATGGCAACCCACTCCAGTACTCTTGCCTAGAAAATTCCATGGATGGAGGAGCCTGGTAGGCTACAGTCCATGGGGTCACAAAAGAGTCGGACACGACTGAGTGACTCACTTTCACTTTCATCATCACTGGGGCCTCCCAGGTGGCGCCAGTAGTATAGAACATTCCTGCCAATGCAGGAGACGTAAGAGATGTGGGTTTAATCCCTGGGTTGGGAAGATCCCCTGGAGAATCGAATGGCTACCCACTCCAGTATTCTTGCCTGGAGAATTCCATGGACAGAGTAACCTGGCAGGTTACAGTCCACGGGGTTGCAAAGAGTCAGACACGACTAAAGTGACTTAGCATGCATGCATCATTGAGTATAGGAGCATATATAGGACAATGAAGTTTTAAACACAATAACTGTACTGTCTCATATTTAAGCTGCCTTAAAATCATTCTCTTTTACAACTATTTATATTAATATATAATGGATAAACACAAGCTATGATGGTCTTTACTTCTGTTTTCTAAGATAAATGTTAAATCAAATTATATTGAGGCAAAGGGCAGTTAAGAATAAAAAATTAAATAAATGAAAGTGAAGTAAAATGAAAAAGGATGGTTGTGGATTTGAAAGGCTCCCTAAAGTAAAAGTTTATTGAAGTAATGAGGTAAAGAAAAATGAACGTGATATGTATAGACATTTGAAAACTGATCCTTTGGCATTACCATTATGACGTGTTTCACCAAGAGGCTCAAGTTTTGGAAGTCTAGTGACTTTGGGGGTTCCCCAGCCAACTGAAGAAAAAGAAAGACATTTAAAAACACTGTTAAACATTATCTCTTTGGTCTGTTAAGAGGGTCCCTCTCTTGCCAGGAATGTATACAACTTCAATGTCAGTTCATACATATTGAATGACATAGTACCAAATAACCACAAACCCATTTTAAATGGTTTCTGTTTTAGAATGTAATTTTAGGTTGGTGATACTTGCTTTTTGTTTCCCTTTAGTTAAAAATATAAGCATCCTCACCACCAACATAAATAACCTTAGGCTACTAACCTAAGTCCCAACAGACGCTAAAAGAAATGGACACTATTAGATGGAATATCAAAAATGAGTCTTAAAATGGGGCTCAAAGGAAAATGTTACCATCTTACGCCTTCTAGCAAGACTAAAAGTAAACTACAAACATATACATTGTAAGGTATTTACTGAATATGTGATGTACAATGCTTAGTGATGAAAAAGATGTCTTATTAATTTTTACTATTTTTTTACTTTCATAAAGTATTTTTTTCTGAATAAAAAAAAAAAATCAATATTTATGTTGATAAATTCTGAACTAAGTAGACAGAACAAAGAATTCTACCTTTCTCACAAATTCACAAGATTATGAATCCTCTGAATAAAAACTGCATGATTTTTTAGATTTTTCTTCAGTGTTTACGGCAGTATTTCTAAATTCAGCATCAACAGCGATTTGCTCACCAGGAGGAGGAGGCGGGGGCGGTGCTGGACTCTTAGGAGCAGAATCGTCTGTATTAACAGGCTCCACACGGTGGCTCCTCTTCATCCTCAGTTTCTTGGTTTTCTTTTTACTGCTATCTATAAGAATATAAACATGCGACTTTATGCCTTTTGGAAAAAGTTACTTCTATAATAAAAAAAAGAACAGAATTAGAATATTGATATTATTATTACCATAGAAATATAACTTCAACTTAAAAATTGTTACCAATAATGAACTGTGAACTTGCCTTTTCTAAGAATAAATTTGTAAGTGATTGCTTATTGAATGATTAATAAATACGATGTGAGTGGCAAAAAGTCATATTTTAAGTTCAATGAGAAATGATTCAGAATACAAAAAAAAAATACATATTTCCAAAAGTAACAGTTTTTTTCAAGTGTCATAATAAATAAATGGGATTATCTAATTACAGAGACTTCTACAAAGCTACGGATGACCTGGGGGAGAAAGACAGGTATCGGTTTGTTTCAGTAGGATATACAGAATGAATCCAGATCTAAGCCCCAAAATAATCCTTTGAAATGTGAAAAAAGACCCTAATCAAACCAAAGCACATTATCTATGAAAATAATGCCTAATATGTTCAATATAAATGTATGTAACCAAAACTCATATTAGAGCTTACAGAATTGAATCTTAATCTTTCTAAATATTTACAGATTCTCGCTTAAGCACATATAGACATTTTAAGTGAATCTATGTTAACATGTAAACTTTAACAACATAAACCAGGATGAGGTAGTACTTAAATAATCCAACAGCAGAGCCACTAAAATATTTTAATTAATAATCGCAAATCACTAAATTTATACATATAATACATTTTCTAAAATGGAAATTATGTTACACAAGAAACAGCCAACATCTATGAAACCTATAAAGCATTGTAAGAAATACAATTCTATTTGGAAACTCATTATTTTTCAAAATAAATTAGTGTCCCTTGAGAACATTTTACTCTAGATATAAACAGAGACATCCTTTTACAATTAAAGCTATAAGCTTTGCAGCTGGGAGAAAGGAAAGAGAGCTTCCAGAATCACATGGTACTTTAGCATGGGCAGTAAGTCAGGGTCATGGAAGAGCACAGGCTGTGCAACAGAGAATCGAAAGTTGAGGGAAGTGTATCTCAGCACGGTCACAGGTGAGACGTGTGATCTCGAATTACTCAACCTTTCCAAGTCCCTGCTTTCCTACTCTACATAATGAGAAAAATATACCTCAGGATTGCTATGTGAAATAACAATGTTGTGTTAATATTTTCAAATCATCTACCAAATTATTTTGTTCTTTAACAACGTATTAGTGTTATTAGAAAGAGCTCTTCCAATATATTTAAAGGCCACTTTAAGTCTACATTTTGTTTTACTCTGTTAACAGAGTGATATGGGTACAAATGTGGATACCCCAACTTCCCAAAATACAAAAAGTATAACTTTCAAATCTAAGTATTTTTATATAGCAAAACATCCATGTTAGGTACTCTGCATCTCAGGGACTGAGACCTTATTTTCATAAACTCTTTAATACTATACAAAAATTCTTATATACCATTCTTACAAATATATCATATACCAAGTTACTGTATCACCAACTAAGAATGGCAAGGAAGCAACTTGGTTCCTGGGCATCTCTGTGTCAGGCCCTGTGCTAGGAACACTGTAGGGTTACTTTTATTATAAGGAAACCTAAAAGCCTGGTTGAAAAAAAAAAAAAAGATGAAAACTCCATTTCTGAGATGAGAAAAACAAGGACTGAAGAACACCATGTAACATAACATACATCTAGCAGATGAGAAAGTCTGGATGCTACCTCGGATTGTGTGAGTCCAAATGGTCTCTCTCTATGACACCAAAAGACATAAATTTCCTGTTAAATCACGTAACTAGTTTAAAAAAAGAAAAGTAACTGTAAATTAAAGATTTTATATAATATTAAAATAAGAGGAACATGGATATTTGATAATAAAATGGCTTTTAAATTATATTTTTTAAATTTAATTGAATGATAATTGCTTTACAGTATTGTATTGGTTTCTGCCAAATGTTCAGTTATGTCTGCATCCCCTAAATCACAAGTAAATAAAGAAAATGACACTGACTATAACTTTTGGAAGATTAAGAAAAACAAAACAAACCCTCCAAGAATTTTAAACATTTTAAATACACTCTAAGGATTCCTGGGAATATGCAATATTCCTAATTATTGAAAATGGAATTTTCAGCTGAAATTCTTTTCAGTTACAAAGGGCTAGGTTCTAAGACATCATGAATAAAAACAAATCAGCAAACTAATGATGAACTAAAATTCATGAAAAAAACATAAGAAACATTGCATTTGGAGATGAAAAATCTTACGATACATTTCTTTGTGAAAATAACCATGACAAATGAAAAAGTATTTTTAAGTTTTATATACGTTATTTATATGTCACATATAATACATAAAACTTAAAAATAAACACAATGACCATAAAAATAAATAATTTATATATTTTTAATAATTAGATTTATCACCTGATTCTGATGATCTCCAGTCTGTCTCATCTTCATTTTCCAACTGCTGTGTTAACGCCTCCTTATAATTTTCTACTACTCCAAACTCACTGTTTTTTTGGCTACTGTCACTGATCTGGCTCTGTGTCTCTATTTGCTCATGCTCCATTTTATGCTTCAGGGGGCAGCCATCACTGTCTTCTGTATTTTGCCTCTTTTTCTCTCTTTCAAGTTTTTTTTCATTCTGACAAAAATGAAATGTGTCATTCTTAATATAGTGGTCATATTTAAGATAGCTTAAGGGAGAAATCAAATAATTCATAAGCATTATGTAACTTCAGAGTGTGATATTTCCATTAAAAATTATTTGAATATATCATTAAAACATGCTAATTGCCAAACATTCAGAAAGCAGAGAGTATAAAGACAGAACACTTATACTACCAGTAATTCCACAGTCTAGAGATGATCACTATTTGATGTACAAGTCAGTGAGAGGTGCTTTCCTTTGCCTATCCCACAAACATACAGACATACACATCCACAAACATACACTAATGTGACTTGTCTCTCAACATATACATATTTATGTATATTTTTGGAGAAGGAAATGGCACCCCACTCCAATATTCTTGCCTGGAAAATCCCATGGATTGAGGAGCCTGGAGGGCTGCAGTTCATGGAGTCGTAAAGAGTCGGACACGACGGAGCGACTAAGCACAAGCACATGTGTATTTTTAAGCAGAAAAGTACATATACACCATGGAATATTACTCAGCCATTAAAAAGAATTCATTTGAATCAGTTCTAGTGAGATGGATGAAACTGGAGCCCATTATACAGAGCGAAGCAGGCCAGAAAGATAAAGACCATTACAGTATACTAACACATATATATGGACTTTAGAAAGATGGTAACGATAACCCTATATGCAAAACAGAAAAAGAGACTCAGATGTATAGAACAGACTTGTGGACTCTGGGAGAAGGCGAGGGTGGGATGTTTCAAGAGAACAGCATTGAAACATGTATATTATCTAGGGTGAAACAGATCACCAGCCCAGGTTGGGTACATGAGACAAGTGCTCGGGCCTGGTGCACTGGGAAGACCCAGAGGGATCGGGTGGAGAGGGAGGTGGGAGGGGGGACCGGGATGGGGAATACATGTAAATCCATGGCTAATTCATTTCAATGTATAACAAAAACTACTGTAATGATGTAAAGTAATTAGCCTCCAACTAATAAAAATAAATGGAAAAAAAAAATCAAAGATTTAAGAATACATATTTCTTTCTCTGTCAGTCAATTTATGAAGTGCTTACAATAGTGCATGACACATACCTAGTGAAGTGTTAGCTATGAAAGTATTATATTATGCTATGGGTTAGTTGTATGCTATGGTTTAGTCATATCTGGCTCTTGCAACCCCATGGACTGGAGCCCACCAGGCTCCTCTGTCCATGGGATTCTCCAGGCAAGAATACTGGAGTGGGTTGCCATTTCCTTCTCCAGGGAATCTTCCTGACCCAGGGATGGAACCCAAGTGTCCTGCATTGCAGGCGATCTACTGCATTGCAGGCAGATTCTTGAGCTAAATCACCACTGAGCCGCCAGGGATTCCCTATATTATAATGTACGTGTAAGCTATTACTACTTTCATCAATTACACTATTATTTTGAATAATTCTATCATAACTTATTTTACCAACTCCCACTCAATGGACAAAGACGTGATTTTCAATTTTTCATTATTACAAGAAATACAATTATTGAATTAGTTCTCCAGAATAAATTCCTAACAGTCATGCTGCTGGATCAATGGGTAAAGCACATTTTAAAATGTGACATATTACAAACTTTACTTCATAAAAACTAATGTCAAATTACACCACTGGAAAAGGACTGAAAGAGTGATATTTTCCCACGTCTTTCCTTTTTTTGATTGCACAGCGCAGCATGCAGGATCTTACTTCCCCACCAGGGATCGAACCTGCACCCTCTATACTGGAAGTGTGCAGTCTTAACCACTGGACTGCCAGGGAAGTCCCCCACCCCATCTTTTTCAGTGCTTCTTTAATCATCATGCTCAGTTATTCAGCTGTGTCTGACTCTTGGTGACCCTTCACACTACAGCCTGCCAGGCTCCTCTGTCCATGGGATTTTTCAGGCAGGAATACTGGAGTGGGTTGCCATTTTCCCCTCCAGGTTTTAATCATTATAAATCTTTTATGTCTCCACCAAACTAATAAATACTTTTTCACCTCAGTGTTGACTTATTATTTTTATTATTACTGAAGATAAGTTATAAAATATCCTTATTGCCATTTAAATTTTTTCTATAAGGAACTACCCATCATAACCCAATGCCCTTTTTTCTATTAGAGTCTAATTATTTACACAGTAATTTTTTAAGGATTCTTTTTTTTTTTTGACCCATGTTTCTCAAATATTTTTCATTACGTTTAGTTTGGTTTTTTTTTTTGTCTTTAACTTTGTAGAACATCTCTTTAAAAACTGAATATACTAAGATCTACTTTATTTTTCCCATTTTATGATTTTTCACTCTGTGATTTGTGGCCTCATTGTCCTGCTTTGAATGTTTCTCCTCCTCCAAGTTTACAAATGTCTATCTGTATTATATTCAAGTGTTTTTAAGGCTTCTTTTTCTAATATTTAAATCTTTTAAAATTTAATTTGGTATACAGTGTTCAATAATTTTGCTTCTTTTTCCCAAATGACTCTTCAGTTGTTACAATATCTTTTTTCTCCCAGACTTGAAATGCCACCTTTCTCTTATACTAAATGCTTATATATAATTCTGTTTGTTACTACTGTTTCATTGTGTATCCTGGAACCAACATCTCACCATTTTCATTATCTGTGATAAAAATCAAAGGAAAAAAATGTCAGGTAACATTTTAAAGGAGAAGTTTTTTGGGGAAGAAAACTTGCTTGAGAAAAAGGATATTTCCATTTATTTCATTTCTTAAGTAACTTAAAACCAAATATCTCATATTACCGACTATTTTGCAAAAATAAAGCAACCAAAAACTATACAATCATCTTCTTACCTGTGGAGCTGCCTCCCTCCTCAGCAGCAGCCCCAAGGAAGAACTAATCATCCACCTTTCCAGATGAATACCTGTGTGGAAGGAGGCAGTGACAGGGGAAGAGGGATGGAGAACATACAGGTGGGTCATGCGAGCCACCTGCCACATTAAGCTCTGAGTGAATGGAGAGGCGATTTAGGAAGCTCCGCCACTGAGGAAGCATAGCTGCTGGGAGTGATTGAAGCAGGACCAATGCAAACTCTGAACGTCAGTAGAAAATGAAAACAGACACAGATACACAGACAGACAGATATAGAAACATACACACATACACACACACACTCTTTCTCTCACCCTTAATTTCTTATGATTAAAATCTACAAATTAATTTTAGTTAAACTTCTGACGTTTAAAATTAAATGATATTCAGATATAAAAGAACATATCATAGTTTCAAACATTAAGTATCCTGGGAAAATAGCTAGAAAATCATTTACATACTCTAATGCTTCATAAACATCTAAATATTACTGTAAAAGTATAGTAATAGCAATATACAGTGATAATGACAACATAAATAAGAGTTAAACACTACTGTCGTAGGATATGTGACACAATATATTTATCAGAACAATAAGATAGCTGTATATCCTATCTTCATTTTCATTCTCGGTGAATTCTGCAGCCATCCTTCTTCCCTTTAACCCTAGATCAGAAGGGAAGATTGAAGAGGAGGAAGAAGCAGCAAACCTTTAGCCTGTCTCCCCCTTTTGATTTCTTTTACAAATAATTAATCCCTGGAGAAATACTACTATCTCCCTGCCTCCTTTCCCTATTCCTCACCTCCTTTCTGAACTTCCAACTTTATAACTTAACATATAAAAATTAATTCGCCACTATCCATACCTCAATGATTACCGATGCTATTGGCTGGAAAGGATTAACAATGACTGGTTCTGGGTCCAACTCAGCCATCCCACTGGTTCCATGGAGTTCAGCCCGTTCTTGTTCTCTTTGTTCTCTATATTTTGAAGGAAAAAAATTGGAATTCCTTATGAGAAAATGAAAAACCATGTTTAAGAACACCTGCAATAGGTTTATGGCTATTAAATTCAATATTTAAACATATGGACATGGCTTTGAATTACTGATTTTCAGATATCCTTATGCAGGTAATAAGCCTCTATCTCCATGTAAAGATTAATCGTTTGAATTTCTAAAGAAAGAAATGCTGACAAAAATGAGATTCTCTATGACTGACTTCTTAATGTCTGCAGTACAGATTATTTTTCTATGTAATAAAGATTTATATTTATCAATTTAATTACCCTCCCAAACCAATGCAATCCTCTTCTCTAATGTTAACTAGATAAGTTCTGCTGTTAAACCTCTTAAGAGCTGCGTACAGTTATATACCATAAATGAACTAGATAACAATTATTGCTTTGCATAAGTAGAAAAGGCTATAAAAATAAGTAGCCCTTTGTCACTCAAACCAAAAAATTATTTCTATGTTAGTTACTACTGAGAATTTTATTACCTCTGTGACTTAAAATTAATGTTGCCCCAGAGATAAAGGTAATAAATTATTAAAAGACAGCCCTCAGATTGGGAGAAAATAATAGCAAACGAAGCAACAGACAAAGGATTAATCTCAAAAATATACAAGCAACTCCTCCAGCTCAACTCCAGAAAAATAAATGACCCAATCAAAAAATGGGCCAAAGAACTAAACAGACATTTCTCCAAGGAAGACATACAGATGGCTAACAAACACATGAAAAGATGCTCAACATCACTCATTATCAGAGAAATGCAAATCAAAACCACAATGAGGTACCATTACACGCCAGTCAGGATGGCTGCTATCCAAAAGTCTACAAGCAATAAATGCTGGAGAGGGTGTGGAGAAAAGGGAACCCTCTTACACTGTTGGTGGGAATGCAAATTAGTACAGCCACTATGGAAAACAGTGTGGAGATTTCTTAAAAAGCTGGAAATAGAACTGCCATATGACCCAGCAATCCCACTTCTGGGCATACACACCGAGGAAACCAGATCTGAAAGAGACACATGCACCCCAATGTTCATCGCAGCACTGTTTATAATAGCCAGGACATGGAAGCAACCTAGATGCCCATCAGCAGACGAATGGATGAGGAAGCTATGGTACATATACACCATGGAATATTACTCAGCCATTAAAAAGAATTCATTTGAATCAGTTCTAATGAGATGGATGAAACTGGAGCCCATTATACAGAGCGAAGGAAGCCAGAAAGATAAAGACCATTACCGTATACTAACACATATATATGGAATTTAGAAAGATAGTAACGATAACCGTATATGCAAAACAGAAAAAGAGACTCAGATGTATAGAACAGACTTGTGGACTCTGGGAGAAGGCGAGGGTGGGATGTTTCAAGAGAACAGCATCGAAACATGTATATCTAGGGTGAAACAGATCACCAGCCCAGGTTGGGTGCATGAGACAAGTGCTCGGGCCTGGTGCACTGGGAAGACCCAGAGGGATGGGGTGGAGAGGGAGGTGGGGGGGACCGGGATGGGGAATACATGTAAATCCATGGCTAATTCATTTCAATGTATGACAAAAACCACTGCAATGATGTAAAGTGATTAGCCTCCAACTAATACAAATAAATGAAAAAAATAAAAATAAAAAAAAAATAAAAGAAGTAGCTATAGACAGAAACATGACTATTTTAGATATGCAACTAGACTGTAAGTATAGTAGAACAATGTCAATGCTCATTACTATGGCATTTATTAATTAAGTTCTATGATGGAAAGATATATTCTCTCATCCTGAACCTAGAAAGCCAAGATTTAGTGATCTGCAATTTACTAATTCTGTGACCTTGGTCATTTATCTGCATACTTGAGCCTCAGCTTTCCCATAAATGTGGACAAAATACCTATTTCATAGAGCTATTTCAGATAAATTAATACATGTGAAAGCTCTCTATATAAACATACTTACAGGACACTTATCATTATTAATGCTATCATTTATTAGTAAGTAATTTCAGGTATCTGGTTTTAATATACTATTTTCAGATACCAATAATAGCTGTTTTACTGTTTTTTCCAAAATTATCTAAACCTATAAAAATCTAAAAACCTATTAAATTGTGTTTAACAATAAAAAGTTCTTCTTTTTAACACTCTCATCTAAATTTAATTATGGATTCTGTTAAACAGGAGAGGATTCCGAAGACAAGTGGCATGGCTCAGAGAAAGGAGGGAAGGGGAGAGGGGTACCAGCAAAGCCAGCCATATCATGATCTGGAACATCTTTGTGGAAAAAGCTAAAACTGGGGGAAAAAAAAGACTAAATTTCTTTTATTCAATCTTTTCTTTTTTTCTTTTTGCTTGTTTTCTAAGTGGAGCAAAAGCAAAGAAGCCTTTAGAAAACTATGGCCATTAAAAAAAAAGAAAACTATGGCCATATATTTTGTTTTCATAAATACATAGAAGGTGTATTTACATGAATGGTTGGGTTTACTTAGCTTTATATAATGAAAATATACACTAGAATAGAAAATCAAAGATTCTCAAAGGAACTAAAACCTCTTATTGGTTCAAGAGAGACCTATGTCACTGATCTGCTCATGTTATTGAGCACTTGAGGATAGAAAAGTTATCCCTCCAAGAGATAAGTCCTGTCTCTGAATTAAATGAAAGATACCAGCAATCAGAGGGTTTCCTTGGCAGTGTGAGGGAGCACCTCACAAAGGCATCACCACGGACAGTCAGTGGGCTCTTGCCCACCAGCCTGCAATTGTTAAAGCACACAGGAGACCAGTATTACTTAGGTCGATGGAAGACAACTTTGGATGCCACAAGAGCTCACTTGGAAATCTTTCTGTTTCTTCCCTCCCCTGACATGTAACAATCAAATGAAGAAAGAAAGAGAAATCTTGGGATTAAGAACTAAATTCAACATCTAATCAAATCTGAGAAGCCAGTTCGATCTCTCTGTCAGGAAGATCCCCTGGAAAAGGGCATGGCAACCCACTCCAGTATTCTTACCTGGAGAATCCCATAGACAGAGGAGCCTGGCGGGCTACAGTGCATGGGATCACACATAGCTGGACACAAATGAAGTGACTTAGCATGTATGCATGTAATCAAATCTGAGTATTAGTTTCTTCCAGCATTAAGATTATTATAATTGATTCAATGGTAGAATTTATGTAAACTTTTTTTTTTAATTTAGTTTGCTAAATATTTTTAAAATTTCCATTTAGGCAACATATTTTAAAAACAGTTTTAATAACATGTTTTTAAAACCTGAGATGGTACAATTCATTCTCCTTTCAGACAAAAACTAGTGTTGAAGATCAGATTTTGCTTCAGCTGGGTGATCCACTAACAGCTTACCTTCTATCTTCACTGACACTAATGAGGAGTATCTCAGTCTACGACACATTCTTTCCTACGGGAGACTGTCCTGTGCATCACAGAACGGTTAGCAGCATCCCTGGCCTCCACCCTCTAGATGCCAATTGCACTCCACCTCCCAGCCATGACAAGCAAAAATGTTCCTAGACATTGCCAAATGTCTTCTGAGGAGCAAAATCACCTTGTGGACTGAGAACCACTGCACTAAAGGTTGTCATAAGAAATAAAGAAATAAAAATTGTAAAACTGTGAGAGATAAATACTGCAGCAATAAATATAACAACTATACCACCATTAGGAAAATTAGAACTCTATCAACCAAACCTGCTAAGTCTACAGAAATAAAAAAAATTTACCAAGAAGAACCTGAATAGGCAAACTAAAAAACTATTCATAAAAGTGAGGTGTTTCTGGCATTTCATATGCACTGTGCTATATAATTAATCTACTTACCTTTCTTCTCGTAATTTCCGTACGCGTTCAGCCCTTTCTCGATTCTCTTGCTCCTCAAGAGCACGTTGTTCGGTTGTATCTTTTTGGATGCGTTCATTTAAGGCATCAAAGTCCCTTGCAATAATGTGTAGCAGCCAATAAAGGCCCTTTTTAATGGACTTGTCAATTTTCTTTCCATATCCCAAGACTGCTGAACAAGGTTCCTTAAAAACAGAAGTTTATTTTACTTAAAGATTAAAACTAAAAGTCCTCTACAAATATTCATTCATAAACCATTAGTATGATTACTGGAGAATTGAATCAATTAACTCATTAAATTAATAATATAAAGCACCTGCTTCTTTAACTTATAAAATACATCTTTGTAATAATTACTACATTAGTATGTATATATGAGTTGAAATATTTTATGGATTATACCTCTAAGCTTGGAGAGTGATTCAGACACAAGAAGTTGGCAGTGCTAGATAATTTTAAACAAAATCACTGACAGACAAAATTGAACTTACAGAAGAAAACTACCTATTAAAAATACTATTAATACTACTACTATTTAACACTACATAATAAAAGGAGCAGAAAATTTTAATTTCTTACACCAGGGAACTTATGGCACTAAGCATCTTTTAAGATTGATGGCCTAACAATCATTTTCTGAAACAAAGAATAAATGATTAAATCCTCAGTTCATCTTTAAGACTGTAGGATAACTCTAATATAATCTTTCAAAATTCATTATAAACTATCCTAAGTATAAATTGTGTATTTATACTTCCACCATTTTACAATATTTATAGAGTAACATGTTTGTATAGCTTACGTATTTGTCAGCAATGTTTAAACAAAATCAAATCTAAAGTCTTTGAAATGATGGAAGATATTTTAAAGAAGTCAGTAACAACTAAACAGAAAACAAATATCACTGTATTAAGTAATTTCAAATGAACAGTGAGATCATGTATTTCCTGGGTAAAATATTTAGAAAAGAAACATTAATAAATTATTTTGTTAGCTGCCTACTCTCTAACTGCTTATCACCTTTACAAAAACTAAGTTATATCGAACATAATTTATAGGGCAAAAGAAGCCTCAAAACTTACTATCTGACACAAGCACTTGTGCTCATTGACCAGCTTTTCCAGAGAAAGACACTCAATCACATCAGCTTCTCCTAGAGCCCCTTCTTTATCCTGTTTATTTGCCAACCTAGAGAGACACAAGTAAAGTGGATTTACAGCAAATATACAATCAGACAGCTGCTTAAAAACATTCTCACCAAGTTCCTACTCCAAAGATTTAACCCTGCTGATTACAGAACATGCTGGTTTTACAGAGCAATGTACTATCTTTTATTCCATCATTTTTCCTTTATTAAGTTTGCAAACATTTTTTAAGATTTGGTCTATAAAAGGGAAATCAAGTACAGAGAAATGTCAAGAAAACAAGCAATAGGTCAACAGGCCAACAACAAAGTACAAACAGAAAAAGTAGTGGACGAGTTTCCACAGCTCTCAGCCATCAGTTACACCTTTCACCTTAGAGCCTTATCTTCTTAAAATACACTGCATCGTGATGCAAAGGCCCTTATTCCAAGTCTTTTCTCTTCCTTAAAATACAAACTGCATCATGTTTCACATACCTGAATAGTCATTCAAAGCTTGTATTATTTGAGCTAACCTGTATTTCCAGTGTGTGGATGTGTTCACATAAAAGTGCAATTTACTGGAGAAATGAGGTCACTTTTATCTAATTTATTTAGCACAGCACTGGACATAGAAAACCTTATACTCAATTAGGAACAAACTGGGGAACAAGTAAAAAAACAAAAACAAGTTCTAAAAAAAAGTTAGGAATTACCACAAAATACTGTTTTCCTGGAAGCCTAGCGTGGTGCAGTCCATGGGGTCGCAAAGAGTTGAACACAACTTAACGACTGAACAACAAAACAACTATTTTCCTATCAGATGGCAGAGGTCAAAAGGTAATAAAATACTGTCTTGGAAAGGGTTTGGTAGTATTTCAGGAAAATATATATTATATCATAAATATGTTGAATAATCAATCTAATGAACTCTATCACCTATCTAAAAATTTATACCATTTTTGCTCATCTATATATCTTCCATGTTCCCATCAGTCATATCACTTCACCCTAAAATTTAAAAATATTCTAATACCACTGTCACACCTAAGCTCTGAAAAAAATTAATATTCTTCAAAATCTTTAAGTGTAATGTCCAAATTCAGATCCAAACCAGATACACATTACAATTTATTCTTTTAAGTGTTTTTGAATCAGTATCACCCCCAATGCCAACACTGCCTACTCCTGCAACATCACTACCAATACCTCTGAAAAGACTGTGTAAAAATGGCAGTATCGTCAATTTTACTTGTAACATCTAACTATAAAAACAAGTCAGGGAGTGTACAGTGAGAGGATGAATGAACTTTCATTAGTTTTTCATTCATTCTCCTACTTTTTTTTTATTAATAATATAAACACGTACATGGAAAAAATGCTATTTTAAAGATCACAATTTGGGCACCTTGGCTATCCACTGGTAGTGATTGGTTAACAGATGTTTATATGTGTATCTATACCCTCCCTTTCTTCCTCAAACGTTAGCATTCTATATACACTCCTGTGAATTACTATGCTTTTTTTCCAAACAGTAAATCCTAAAATTACCCTGAAGCAGTATAAAGAGATCATCTTTTTTATTATTATATTCTTTACTATTAAACAAAATGTTGATTATATGCATGTTTCATCATTTACTCAGCCACTAAAGAACTACATGTAGTATTTATGGATAGTTCTCAATGTTTTGCTTTTACAAAAAGGGCCGTGAGGAATAAGTGTGTGAAGGCATTATTCCTTATTGTGGGAAAAGACTTCAAGAAGTGGGATTACTAAACCAAAGAATAAATACAAATGATATTTTGATAGATATAATAGCAATGTCCCACCTCTCATACTCAAAACATAACACCTCAGGCAGAGAAAAAGAGAGTGTAAGAAAAATTAGTCATGCAAGAGAAATTTCATGTCTGATTTTCCTACAAATATTTCACTCTGGCAACACTTAATTTTGAATTGTTGATATAATAAAGAGCATAACAGCACTGCACAATTTCAGTCTTTTCAAGTGGGAAATTATGAAAGAAACTTAAAAATAGCAGGCATACCAAAAAGAAAAGTTGCAAGTTTAAAGATACTATCTCTTTTCTGGCTGTTGTAGTTCTGAAATTTGGCAATTTTCTGAGTTAAGAAAATAAGATGGGAAAAAAAAAAAAGAAAGTAAGATGGAACTCAACTATTTAATTTCCTAAGTGAAAGTTGCTCAGTCACGTATGGTTTGCGGCCCCATGGATTACACAGTCCATGGAATTCTCCAGGCCAGAATACTAGAGTTGGTAGCTGTTCCCTTCTCCAGGGATTCTTCCCAACCCAGGGATTGAACCCAGGTCTCCTGTATCGCACACGGATTCTTTACCAGCTAAGCCACCAGCGAAGCGAATTCCCTAAAATAAGATGGAATTCAATTATTTTAACGTAAACTGAACAAAAAGCCTTCACCTAAGGTTCTTTTCATTCCTACTTATTCCAAATTCCAACAATTTAGCAAGGTTTCACACCTTTAGAAAACAAAGTAATCTTTAATTATAAACGCCCTTTTTTGTGAGTAATGTATTTCATATACACTATAGGACAGGAATTTCAGAGCCTGTGCCAAGTTTTCTATAGCAGACAGTTTAACAAGGACTTCCTGTTACCAACTAGCTCCAGTGAAAACAACCTTCCTTTAATCTAAAGAACAGGCAGCTAACAGGCAGAACCGGATTCTCCAGGTGTGAGGTAAGCAATTTGTTCTCACTTGATACGAACTGCAAAACAGCTTTATATCTAACTTATTTTATTTCATTGTGTGGCTTTCAATTACGTTAACTAAATGAAAACCGTACAGAAATTAGCCTGTGAACTATAAGACAGAGATTTAAATAAAATATGAATAAAATGTTACAGATGATAATCAAGATTTTCTCTCACAGGCAAGACTCCAACTACGCAGGTGGAAAAGCAACACAAACAAGCCAAAGGAACAAGACAAAGGTAAAGAAACCACTCTTTTCTGTATTTTTAATGTGAGACATCCAGAGATTTAAATCTGTGACATTTAAAAAGAACTCAACAGATAATTGAAGCTACCTGTTTTGTTCAGATTTGGACCGGGCTATAGGCAGCTGATCCATTCACATATACTATCAATAGGCTGAATGAGATAGCAGTTTAGAGTCCCTAGAAATAGACCACTACAAACAAAATCAACTTCTCCTTTTAAGTCCTTTAAAAAATATCTTTCCATTTTGGAAACACTAGAAGGTCAGAACCTATAAAAACAAACTTAAAATTCTTTCCTCTATAAACAGACTATATAAATTATACTGTGCTTGCTTTAGAGAACATTTTTCCACTTAATTCTGAAAAGAAGTTTATGCCCTACTTGCCACATATGTACAATGTTTAAAAATTTAAGAATATTTTCTATAAGGCCTTAATTTCTTCATTGTTGTTTCCCAGAATCTTTAAAATTAATTTGAGGAAATTAAAAAATAGTCATCTTGTAAAAGGACTACTGTAAAATACCGACATACTCAATTTTTCTAAGTACTCAATTTTTAGATGTTTCAGTTAGTACTTAAATTATAAAATTTAATATCAATATTATATTTGATTTGATAACTTTAAAAACTTAAGTCACCATCATTTAAATGCAAAATGCACAGGTAGTTTCAAAATTAAAGTTTGGAGGCTTAATCAAAACATGTTTTATTTTTTGATATTTCTTCAAAGTTATTTTACAACTGTTATGTTAGATTTTAATATATAATATTTCAAATCAAAATAATATTTCCATTAGTTAAGTGCTTTAAGGGTAAATGTGAAAGCTGACCATGTAATACCCAGAACACACTACCTCTGTGATGATGCAGTTTTAAATTTAATATAAAAATAATGCTATATATGTACAGCTTACTTTAGTCAGATATGAGAGAGTTCAAAATTACAAGAGTCTTAATATTTAAACAATACAGTCTTACTGTTAAGAGTTAATTTTACAGTTATTTACATTAAACAAAAAGTAGAATTTAAAAAGCACTCAAAGGTTGCATTACCAAAAAATGTAAAATAATTTAAACTGATATAATTAACATAATTTGCAATATTTTTTTTAGTTTGTTTTCTTCCTGTAAGCCAAACAGGTGAACATTCCAATAATAGCTGCTTTCACCTTGAACTAGGGAAATGCTGCAAGCTGTCTTCATACACAAAAGCAAAAAAAATTCCATTTTATGTTAAATAAACATGTTACATTTCTTGAAATGATTATTCAGTGTGAAAAGTTAAGGTGTCACTCAGTTGTGTCCAACTCTGTTGAGACCCCATGGACTGCGTAGCTCACCAGGCTGCTCCTTCCATGGAATTCTTTAGGCAAGAATACTGGAGTGGATTGCCATTTCCTTCTCTAAGGGATATTCCCAATCCAGGAATCAAACCTGGGTCTTCCTCATTGCAGGTAGATAATAGTAACTATAAAAAGAAATGTCCTACTTTTAAAAACTCTGTAAATTATATAAAGTATCGATCCAGGGCATATTTCCTAAAGTATTAGAAAAATTTTATTCATATTTCTGTTTCTAGAAATGTTCCCTATCTGCAATAGGGTGGAGAAACTTTTGAGTAATACAAGTTTGCTTTTGTATTTCAGAGAACAAATTGTCAATTTAATTAGTGTATTTATAAATCAGTGTTCTAATTCTCTTTTTGCAAATATTACATTTGAGCTCAAAGATACAATCAGTTATTAACAGTAAAATTCAAAATTGTATAGCAAAGCAGTACATTAAACATGCTGAAAGATGACATAATTGGATAGAACTCTTCTGATATTAAAAAAATAAATTTAAGGTGCAGAAAATATTGCATAAAATGGTAGCATTGTCAATTTCACTTACCTAAGCAATTAAATGATTTCACAACTATGTGCTTAATTTTTTATGCCTTCATGAACTCTGTCTCTTCCAACTTTAAATTCTAATACACTTAGATATCTCTTTGCTTATATTATAATTTATGAAGATAGAAGAAGATCGTAAGATAAATTGGAAATAGTTATACATATAGTTATGAGTATGCAACTAATGGAAAATGCAATTTATGTATAGCATGAAAGTATACCTGAATACCTACATTAAGTTAGTTTATACAGAGATGAATATAAGGAATTAAGGAACATTCTGAATTATGTAAACTCTTTAAAGTAATCACCTATGACTTTAAGTGAAGATGCACAGATAAAGAAATTCCTCCTCTTGCTAGAAACCTAGAGAAGTGCTTGATATAATCTTATGGGGGAAAAAGAAAAGAAAGACAAATTTCTAAACTACATCATTATATCTGAAGTAAGAAAGGGAAATTTCCAGGTGCCAAAAATGAAGAGCAAAAACACTCAGAGCCAAAGTGGACAGCAGGAATTAAAGTTAACCCCACTGAGCTTTCCTGGTGGGTCAGTGGTAAAGAATCCACCTGTCAGTGCAGGAGAGTCTGGTTCGATCCCTGGGTCAGGAAGATCCCTTGGAGAAGGGGATGGCAACCCACTCCAGCATTCTTGCCTGGGAAATCCTATGGACAGGGGAGACTGGTGGACTACAATCCATGGGATCACAAGAGTCAGACATGACTTAGTGACTAAATAACAACACCAACCAACCACTGGCTACTAGGGGCTAACACATTTATCTTAGAGGCTGGGGTTTAGAGTGTGCATAATTGCGAACTAAAGTCAAGTTTCCTATATAAAGTAATGAAACAGAAAAAAACAGAACATAGTCTGCATACAGAAAAAGGAAAATCTCTGTTGGTTTGTCCAGGACTACAGCAAGGAGTGATGTAGTCGCTCAGGCTACAAGATCACTACAGAAAAATCAGGCCCATACTTATACTACCTGAGCTATAGAGATCCCTAGAGAAAGGTCAGGCCCACACACTCAGTACCTGCAGGTCCTGTGTCCATGGATTCAACCAACATCAGATGGACAATATTTAGGAAAAAATCCAGAAAGTTCCCAAAAGCAAAATTTGAAATTTCCATGCACCAGCAACTATTTACATAGCATTAACATTTATTCACAAACATTTATATATGTTACATTGCATTAGGTATTATAAGTAATCTAGAAATGACTTGAAGTATATTTTTAAAGTAAAAATATACAAGAGGATATATATAAGTTGTATGCAAATATTACATCATTTTACATAAGAGACCTAAGTATCCATGGATTTTGGCATCTGTGGGCGTCATGGAACCAATCCCCCACAATATGCAGGGACAACTGTATACTAACTGGGCTATGATAGTTTGAGTATGTCAAACTCATAGTTGTGACAATCATAAAAATGGGGTTGAACATATCCATAATGCAAGGCACTCTGGGCATTCCTATATAATTCCCTACTGAAGATAAACTACTGACGAAGTTTACTAAATACATCTGTCCATCACCAGGAAAAACAGTTGGTGACCACAATAAACAAAGGAACTATTTATAAGTAATGGCAAACCACTCCAGTATTCTTGCCTGGAAAATCCTGTGGACAGAGGAGCCTGAAGGGCTGCTGTCCACAGCGTTGCACAGAGTAGGGGACACAACTGAAGTGACTCAGCACGCAGGCATGCATTGGAGAAGGAAATGGCAACCCACGTGGTATTCCTTCAGCAAACTGTTCTTCCAAAAACACAGAAACCCAGGCTAAGATCACCTTTAGAAGGGTCAGAGTCAAATATCTCCATTTCCAAAACCAGTGACAGTAACATTTACCTCCTTAAAAGCACTTTGCAAAAGCATACTGTGCTACTATATTTGAAATACCCTATTTCTTTTAAAAAAAAAAATAAGTTAAACTATGATGCTTCAAAAAAAGGTTTTGGATGGCACGATGGCACTGTTCATTCATAGATAACTAAAATGAAAAAAAGAAGAACCTAACTTGCCATAAGTATATTAGAGTTTATTTCTGGATTTGTTTCAAGCCACACAATCAAAGAGAAAATTATATTCACTGTAGTTCTTCACAACTGTGAAATTAAAAAAATTTTTAGGCTACTTAGCACATGAATAAAAAAATTAAAATCTATTTTGGTTTGATACCCAACCCCCTTATTTCTCGTCTAAGCCTCAAATACTCTTTTCTTTTTTCCCATATTATGAAGAACAGAAGTCAATTTAAAAAATAGTGCAACAAACATCATACCTGCTATGTACAATGTAGTTATAAGAATTCATAGCAACAGGTTACATGTATGTATGTATGAATAGGATACATAAATCTGTGTACATAAAAGGAAGGCAATACACCTCACTTTCTGTCTTATCTCATACTATGACTATGAGGTACAGCAGAAGAAAATACAAGAATGCCAATTTCTTCATGGTGCCAAGACTAGAATTCAAAAATTTTTCTATTTCCCATGACACAGATACAAGAGATCAGAACAAACAATTTTTCTTTTTCTAAATTATAAAGTACTTAATTTGAAAAATTATAATATGCAAAATCCTAACTAATAGAGCTGCTAACATAATTATTTTAGATCTAATATGCTACACTACCTCCTGTAAAACTTTTTTCTTTTAAACACAGCATTTATATTAAAAACATAGTACAATATCTGATATAATTCAACTTCACTTATAACATGTTTCATTAGGATAATCTATTTCTATTTATTACAAAATAAAGAAAAATAACAGATCTGCAAATCAAGGGAGGAAGGGAGGAAGGGAAGGTGAGAGGAAGAAAGAAAGGAGCTTATGACTGTTTCAAAAGCAACATGACATCCTAAACACTTTGGGAAGAAATTAATTTTCAGCGTCAATATGGTAATACCAGAGGAAGCATATAGATAAGTAAATGATAAACACTAAAGCAAAGAACAGTATGGAACTATTCAAGATAATTCACTAAACTAACCAACTTTAGTAAATTACTTCCCTGTATTACTGGAAAGATTAGCCTTTATCAGAGGCATATAATAAATCATGTGTGAT